ATCATCCCATACTTGGACATGTCATATACAGCTTTCAAAAAGTATCAAATTGTTTTTTGTAAATTAATGCGTTAATTTTGAGGTGTCTTCTTACTTTTAAAAATGTCTCCGACTGTAACCGTCCATCCTGGATTAAATTAATTGCTCTGGCAACATCAGTCGGAGACAAATCCATTTTTTAAAGTAAGAAGACACCTCAAAATTTAAACATTAATTTGCAAAAAACCAAGTCCAAGTATGGGATGATTCAACAAAACTGTCACTGTCATCCTTCATAGGCTATGGATGGACCATAGCAACCTTAGTTCTTCATACAGAAAAATATTGGAAATTGCAATGTTTTTTTAAAAAATCCATATTTTCCACAAAAATAAATATATCGAGGTGAACCAAAAACAAAACTGTTAAGATTATATAATACACTCACAGGCAAAATAATCGATCCACACAAATTTTCGATGAATTTCAATCGCAAATAACTTTTTTGTATACTTAATAATACTCAAATACCCATGTATTATATTATAATACATAGGTATTTGAGTATTATTACTCAGGGGCGACATTTTATTTTATGAATCTGTAAGTCATCTATAGATACATACATAACCCTTAAGGCCGATTCTCACATAGCGACGCGATGCTTCAAAATCGCGCCCTATTGTCGCTCCAGGAAGCGACAAAATTTTGTCGAGTCGCGTTGCTGGCGCGTCGCGTCGCGTCGCTATGTGGGAATTGTCGGGGGTAATTACACAAGTGCTTAAAAATTATCGATAATTTTGCTTGAAAGCATATTGCCTAAAAAATGCATGAGTTCATTTTCATATTTTGGAAAGAGCCCGACACCGAAGGTGGAGGGCTCTTTCCTCAAAATATGAAAATGACCGAATGCATTTTTTAAAAGGAAATATGCTTGAATGCAAAATTATCTGATTATTTTTATGCACGAGTGTAATTTGTTTAGATAATTACACGAATAAACTAATTAAATCAATGAATAACAGTTTCAAATATTTTAACACTATTTTTCACATTTACATTAATTGATTCAAATGATTCTTTACCAAAACGTGACATTTAAAATAACTGTCACATTAAATTAAAATATGACGTTATTTTTATTAATTGCCATGGATACGTAGATACAATGGAATTATCGATTCCTAGTAGACAATTATCGCTGTAATCAAGCGATAATTGTCTTGTAGGCATATATAAGAGGGTAATTATCTCATTTAAATGCATGAAAATCTTTCATCAGCTACATTTTAATGTGTCGCGTCGCGTCGCTATGTGAGAATCGGCCTTAAGGGTTGTTAGTAACAACTTGTTACTTTATTTCAACCATTTTTGGTAAATTTTAATTATATTATTATTAATTTATATATATTTGAGATAAACTTAAACTAAAAAATGTTTAATGACTTTACATCCCAAACCACGCAACTTTTCAATTTAAGAGTTGCTTTACCTTTGAACGACAGTGTATATTTACTATATAGCATGTGCGTACGTATGTACATACGTACGTGCGGTGTCCTTTCTGCTAGGACCCCTTTTTATCCTCGGTAACTTAATTGCCGTGAACGCGTTTCGGGCATAAGGTTTCATCTTAGCAACCCCTAGACGAACGAGACGAGTCCCAGCGGACCCCGAAACGCAGATTCCCTCACGCGCCGGGGTGCTAACTGGATTTCGATATTTATCCTATTTAGATGGGCACAACTGATTCCTAATCCTAATTGGCTGTAGAATTGGTTTAAGGGTGCAAGAATATACATAAATATTGTTGGACTAATCTTTAAGTTAAAAGTTTAACCTATACTAGCTAGAAGTAAAAAAATTGATTAAAAATAGATAGTTTACGGTTTTAAGTTTATCAAGGTTCACATTACTTTATGCTAAGTTCACAACCAACTGTAATCTGTTAACTATTTAAATAAGTAGTTTGTAACTATAAAAACATTTGTAATTTTCAAAAAGGACCTTATTTTTACAAATATTTTTATAGACCCAGTAACAAACGTATTTGTTGAAAATTAGGAACTTAAATGAAAAGAATTCTGATAAGAAATGTTGCTTTATTAATCAATTTCCTGAACACAAAAATTTACAACTACCTACATAAATGAACACAAAAATATCATACAAACAATTAAATAACACCATTCTGAAATCATCAATTTATAAAGAAATTTGGTACAATAGAATTCTCAGTATTACTACAAACCCACTTTATTGTATCCCCTGTAATTTCAGTTTGAAAACCAGTGATGGTATCTTTTTTCAGATTTCTGTTACGAACGCCTTAGAATTAGAATAAAGTAAGCAGATGCTTAAGTCAGTTGAACTTGTTGATGCCTATTGTCAGTGGAAAATGTTTTGATTAACTGCCTATACATAACGTGTACTTTTTCAACGAAATAATTTGTTAAACATTAACAAAATAATCTGAAACCTTTGAAATGAACAACATGCTTGCAAAATTGCATATTACCTTTACAAAACTTTCGGTAGAATATTTTCCTTTGTTAAAATACCTAATTACAAACCCTGGCTTGAGCGGGTTGGGGGTAGGAACGAACCGCGGGCTTAAAGTCCGCTTCGAAGGACTAATACACAATAGGACAAACACAAATAAACAACCAATTTGGGACTCAAACCCACGACCTCTCGGCTTTTAGTGAGCAGTACTGACCACTAGTCCACCGTCGCGATGGCAGTGGTATGCTCGTTATAGATTAATTAAAGCATTCTCTTTATTTATCTTTGCATGTAACAACGCGTTAAACAATCTCATTTTGTGCTGCCGTCTAGAGTGCTCGTCTGGTATTTCCTTTCTCCTCTAAAATTATGATTATGATCTTTATAGATATATGAAAAACTGCTCTTTCATAATTTGAAGTAAGAAATGCTGCCGTTATTTCCTTTCTCCTCTAAAACGCTTGGATCCCTTTTCGCGGAGCGCGTCACATATTTAAGTACTAAAAAAGCATATTTCCTTCCATATTTCTTAAATCGTTGATTTTACGCCTAAACTTCATTATTCTGCTAAAATACGTTGGTTCTGACTTCATTTTTCTCTAATCATAATAATCATTATCGAATAATGATTCCCAAGCATATAAAGAACACGTGGAACAAAGTAATTGCCGTAATTTAACGAAAATTCTTTTGTTATAATAAAATCGATACCAATTATTTTAATGCATTTTCAATTTATGATAAGCTTTATTTAGGTGACGTGTTATAAATTTTATCAAACAAAATGGATTTGTTCTAAAAAAAGTTATTATTATTATTATTATTCATTTAATATACATATTATGGCCATCGGCCATGCAATGGACTTTTATTGACTTTCCTGTTTCGTTCTTTGGACCAGTGCCGGGTAGCCATGTGGTGTGTTTATAGAAAATGTATATTTTGCATCAGAATGCACATGACAAAGATCTTTGTTCTTACCAAAATGAGACTACACGGAGTTGTAGTCGCAGAATGTGGTTCAAGGCTTCAGTTCAATATCTCACCGAAAATTAAAAATCCGAAGCGAACAATAACTAAAAAAGCAAAACACAGTCTGGCGTCCTAAATTGTCGGGCACCCAAGAAGGACACACGCCATACAAAACACGTAGGTACTTATAAATAAGTATCGATAACTCTCATTGAAACATTCCAGAGATCGCCGATTAAATTAGTAATCAGATGGTGAGCGTACGTGGTCTGCCAATTAAATTATTATTAATAAAACTCGCGTAGGTGTCGAGAAGACATTCCCATCGAGTTATAATACCAGGATTATCTGGATTAATTATTTAATTACTGGGTTAAACTATTGGACCGAAAAATAGAATATAATTTGGTGTTGTTATTTTGTCACATTTCGTAATGTTAGTGAAGTAATAACCCTCCTGTAACCTCCCCTCCTAGACGTCTATATATTTACTTCCGTATTACTTGATCTAAAAATAATTCCTCAGTTCAATATTATTTCAACTAAGCAGCGCATCACTTTCAAAGTTATTGCACAGCCGCGCGCCCTATCGGACGGAAGCGCAACCAAGGCCCCTCGAAAATAGAACGTGCCGGTTTTGAAGATGCACCGCCCGCAGATGGCGTTAGTTGTTCGGCGGAAAAAGCAATTTGGAAGCGCCAAAGTTCAAATGACCCTGTAGTGCACTGCTTTACCCTTCAATCGATAAACTAAAGTCACAAAATATTTGGACGTCCAAAGCATATGCAAATTTTTCGCCGGTAAGAACCATGCGACGCGAGTTTTGATAAAATCCAGTCGGTGCGCGAGAGTCGAACGAAAACAATGACCTATATTTTGCGGTGTATTTCGGTAGAGTGCCATGAAAATGTCGAGTGACTCGGCGACGGCGTCGTTCGTGGACGAGCAGGAAAAACCGACGAATGGCAGTGGAAAAAGTGAAAATGAAAAATTAACAACAATCGACGGCATCGGTGACAGTGACATAACAAAGGCAGTAACAATTAGCGAACAGCAGGAACAGCAGGATGATGAACCGAATGCTTCCGAATTCATGACGCAAGAGTGCGCTGTCGACGAATTTTTGGCGGGAGAAGACAAAACCGAATACAACGACGATATTTTGTTGGAGGACGCCGAGGGGATCTCCTTCAAGGTCGACAACGACATCATCGAATGCAAATTCGTCGAGGAACAAGATCCCTACGAGGAAGAGGAAGAACACAAGGAGAAAAACGAAAGGTAAGACACGTCATAAATTAAACCATTCTCTGTACCTAAACAGACAATCCAGTGACGTCACTGCGCTCCACAATGCGAGGGTAAATAGGAAAGGGGGCAGAACGTTACTATGGCATCTGCCGAAAATATCTGCACGACACCCTTAACCCCTGCCAATATACAGTCGCAAATGGCTTATCGTTTTAAAGTTGGGGAAGGTCCACCGCGCGTATTCATTCATTAAACATTGAGCGAATAGATCGTCGAAGTTTTTAGTTTTTAAAATGCCTCGGTGCGCGGTTATAACTTGCACAAACTACTACGAAAAAACGCGCAAAAGTAACGTAACTTATCATTTATTGCCGTCGAGCGAGAAACTTATCTCGAAGTGGATGGAGTTGTGCGGTGCCGTTAAGTTTTCGTCCTATACGCGCGTTTGTAGCGATCATTTTTCGGAGAAATGCTACCTTAGGGACCTGCAGCACGAGTTGTTGGGGCTGCCGCTGCGGAGGAAGCTTAAGCCGGGAGCGGTGCCCGATAGAAGATTGCCGGGGAAGAAAGCTTGCAAGAACACCAAGGAGAACGAAGTGCAGAAGGAAAACAAAGACAAGAATGTTAAAATATTCAAGAGAAAAAAAGATGAGGATGGAAAAATTTTAAACAATAAGGATGATACAAATAAATGCAAAGATATTAAAGTTGAGAGTGAAGATAAAATATTGCATGAAGGGTTTAAAATGTATAAAAACAAGCTTCCAATGAGATCTAGCATACGCATAGCAAAAAAAAAGTCGATAGAGTCTTTATCGGATTCCTTTACAAGCAAAGTTAACAATAACGCTAAAGGAAATGCGAAAATCGACAAATTTTCGGATAAACTAAAATTCATGGCTAAATTAGAACTGAGACTCGAAAGACGGCTGTTGACACCAATCAAAAAGGAGAACAGGTAAGAGTGTAATAAACATTTTGTTGTGACGAAAGCGTACAGCGTACGCATTAGCATACGAATACAAATATGCCAGGCAAAAGGTCATTTGGAGGTGACAGAGCGAGATAGTGCAGCTACCACCGTCGTAGTCGACGACGCTTGGCCTCGTGCCACTTCTGGCGGTGCCGCTGCCCCCAGCGAGTTCAAGGCCGCAGCAGGAAATACTCGCTGCTGGTGCAGGCCTTCGCCTGCGAAAATTCTGTTTTGCTGCGCCGTTCGAAAATATCTTTCGCCGTTGCTAAATTTAGTCCGGCCTTTTTACTCAAGTAGTAATTTATATATCTTTGAATTGTTTTTTCGAACAAAACGATATCAAATCAAAACTGCTGAAGGTTGAATTTTTTCGTCTGAGTGCGAAAGATAACGATGTTTAACCTCGTTAATATGCATTGATTGGGAAAGCTCTAACAACTCGTATGTATCCTAAATTAGTAAGCCAAAAAATTTTGTGTACATAGAAATATATCTTTATTATTTCATTTTATAACGTGAAAAAGGGTGAGGTAGCTGATATATGCACCATATAACCAATCGTTGAGTGTATGGCGAATTATCCACGTCCTTATCTATATACAAATGTTGGTGCATAAAATACAACAACGTAATAGTGTATTGTAGACTTAGGCGGTAAAGTAACATATTCCCAGGCTAAAAGCCTGGCTTACAAGTTATTTTCCTTCCTACACAACGTGACTGCAAAAAAATACTAAAATTAAATTTGGTTAGGCCGATTATTTTATAGAACGAATGCAGCTTTAGTTTGAACCAAAAAGGTTAATTACAATCTTAAAAACTTATTTTTTAAATTTTAATTTAACATATTATTTTAGCGCCCTCTATTGGAAAAAGTAAAAAAAAAATAACACCTAGGCATTTGTGATTATTTTGGCAAGGCTAGCAGTAGAACCACATTTCTTGCCACGCTGAAAAAAAGAAACTTTTGCCCTAAGGAAATCTGCCATTCCCTTAAAGGAATGGGGACTTTGGATAGGTCCAAATGAAGGAAGGGTTTGAAGTAAATACGTCATTTCTTTGAGATCATTTCATGTCTTTGTTACGAAGAAAAATGTGTGTAGAAGAAGGTTTTCATGATAGATCCTTAAATGCCGTGCTTTTAATTAATAACTCGGTACTGATTTGGATCAAAGGCTTAAGTAATTTAAAATAGAGAAAAGCAGGCTTACAACAAAATCTTAGCAATTTGTAGCAAAAGTCGGATGTCTGAATTTAAATCTATTAGCAATTAAGTGATTTAATTTTTTGTAACAAATTCCGGTTTTTTTATTTTAAATTCATTGGCGTTTGATTAAAGCGTTGTATCAAAACTCGGATTTCTTGTTCTAAATCTATGGGCATTTGAACCAAAGCCCGAATTTTTTTAGCTGAATCTCTTTTATTTTGGAAAAATTACCCGCGTAAATTAAAAAAACTACAATAATTGTCACTAAAACATATATGTTGGTATACCATATAGGTACCCATAATCTCGATCTTTATCACTAGATATTTATTCGCCCGAGATGTACCTACACCTTTGTTGCATTAAAGGACTGATACTGAAGGCCCCTTATTGTTGCAAGATCTATCGAAATACCGAGTGATTTCCGACAAAAGCTTTGTTCTTGAAATAAAGTTATTAAGAAGAATTTAGCCAAAAGAATCGAAAGTTTGCCTCAAATGCATCAGAATTTTAATCTAAAAGAAAAATGTTCAAATGAATGGATTCTTTTGCAATAGATAACATTAAATTTTGACAGAAAGACATGAAATGAAGATTTCTTTTGCCTAAATGCCTTGCCTTAAAGTAATTAAATGTCAAAAGAATCGAGAATTACACCTAAATGCAGCAATTATCTTATCCGAAGGGAAACGGATTTAAAATAAATACAGTTTCTTTGAATGAATTCTTTTGCCACAAGGATACTATTTTTATCAGTGTAGTGTACGAAAAAAAAACTTTATATAGGTAACAAAAACTTTATTAAAACGTAAAATAGTTTTGGATGCAGTTCAACCCCTGCATAAAGTATTTCATGCATCTGAGTAATATGAAGCAATTTGCATTCGATTGAGGTCCCGCGGCTGTCGGGATGTAGCGGGGTGCAACGCGTGTCTACACACGTTGTCCTGCAATCAAGGGTGACTCAGCTTAATTTCGCGACTGTTGGAGAGGAGAGCCATCGGTGCAGACAGGCTCTCTCCTTCCCACATACCGACAAAGATCAATACTACCACTACAACACGACACCCTCCACATCAATTTAATGAACGTCGGTGCCAGCAGATTACGAATAAATATTAATTGCGGCGCATAATGAAAAAGCAACAATACTGTACCATGCTTTGTTTAATTAAAAGCGATAACATGAAACAACGATAATTTCTAATAATGCACACAAGGTCGTGAACGATCGTCGTGACTTTTCTTATTGGAATTTTTTATAAAGCGGAATCCTTGGGTACGGTAATTTGTTAAAGAGTTTCACTTTTAATCAAGGCCGCGCTCAGCTTTGTGCTGCACTTGAGTTTACTGTATCTGTATACAATAGGACGATTCAACAAATCGAATTTTTTTTTACTGCCCAAACTGAAAAATTGGTTCTTATGCACCTCTAGAACGTGCTCACCAAATTTGAGCTCTTAATATTAATAGGAAGATCCTCCTCATTACAGTTTTCCAGTTTTCTTTGTTCCTTTATAGAAAATACCATATTTAATCAATCGTTTAATCAAATCTACATATTTTTGTAGGAAAATAAACGTTCTACAAAAAAAGTCTGATGAGTTTAAGCGATTACTCTAACCATTTAAAAGATATTCAAGATCAAAATTTAAAGACTTAATTTTTTTTTTTTAATAATTTGGATCCGAATCTTTAGCGTACTGATACAAATATCTTTTCAACGGTTAGAATAATCAATTAAACACATTTTTTCTTTTTTCTAGAGCGTTAAATTTTCGACAAAAGATGTCGTACTCATTTGACAATAATTATTTTTCAATGAGTTACAAAATTATTAAAAAAAAAAAATTATAAATTTTTTTCAATCTTAATATTAAGAGCTCCAATTTGGTGAGCACTTTGTAGAGGTAACTGAGTAACAAATTTTCAGTGTTGGAAGTAAAAAAAAAATAATCCAATTTTTTGAATCACCTTAGTATTCAAAGTCCGGCAAAAGGATGTTGCCACGTGTGAGATGAATGTCGTCCATTGTCCGCACTGTGCAAAAGACCCCCGGCGTGGGGAAATGCAAACGGGGGGTCCGACCGACCCCCGGCTCCTCGACGGGAGAGGAGCATCCCGCGGCAAAATCGATCGGCGGCCGAGACGCTGGTGACGTCAGCGGTGCTCAAGCGGTGGTGGGGCGCGGCATTCCGTACCAACGCTGGTATCACAGATTCACAAGTAGTCGGCCGACACCGCAGAGATAGCGCCGCCGCTGCCGCTTGCTCTCTGGTACACGCGTTCGCAACTTGTACTCTTTCCTTAACAGTGTGTGTTCAGGTGATGTAAGTGAGTGCGAAGAAAATTGTAATCAAGTCGCCTTTTGCGGTTGCCGTTCTTAGTAAGAACTTCTTACGTGTTGCTGCAGGCGAAGGCCGGAACACGCCGGTGGCGCGCCCTTTGCCCGATCTATTTCCGGTTTAACAGTTTCATCGAAGCCACACGTACGCCCGCTGGTTGCCATTGTGTTTTACTCTTATCTACAATGCAACAACCAAGGTTGACTTTCATTTAATTAGTGATTCATCCTCGTTTAAGTTTTAAGAACATCTGGAGCCAGTGAAGGGAACATGCATTGCTAAATACACATGAAGATTGCAAAAGCCGGTATTTCTTAATACGAAAATTCTTTATCAACTTTGGTCTCATTTATTATGTACATCTGTTAACGTAATCTAGCATATTGTTAATTATTAACGTGGAAATTTAATACGCTTGGGGTGAACCAATATGATAAATTATAGACCTCTTATTAAAATAACGATGAACGATAATATATAATGCACTTTCACACCTACTTCTCTAAAATAGATAATGCTATCACATTGCTTTAGTTTCCATGGACACCATTGTTTATTCCTATATTTCGTCGACCTTCTTTAGCAAATTTAAATACTTTGCTTCGCGAAGTTTATTAGAGGATGTCGACTAATTTATATGCAAATTATCTATCCCAATTAAAATAAAACAATGTGACTGGTTTCGTTGTTACCAAAACGACTAAATAGTAAACAATATGCGTGCCAGAACAGGAATTTCCAGACTTAAGCCAAAAACGTGATAATAGCGTTGGCAATGCATAAACATTTCTGCCATAATCCTTATCAAGTAAACCAACAGTTTTAACATTATCAAGAAGATGGATGCGTTTGCTTAGGCATTGCATCAATAAAGTAAATACATCATTTTTTGTGTACTCGTTGCTTAACCCAATAAATAAAGGAAGTGGCGCGCCCATTTAGAGAAAAATGATCACCTCAATTTGCTTAATTACTAACTGTCAAATATGGGAACTTAAAAATCACAGATTAATGTTATTTTTCTTATTTCAATGCATGTCACGTGTTCTTAATTTGTCTGTAAACATTTCCACTGTGTGCTATGGTGATCTTTAAACTTTGATATCAACATCTTCAAGGTTTCAGCAGGTAGATTGCGAAACGTAAACTGAAAGTTTAAAGAACTGTGGGGAAATAAGTAGTGTATTAGTACCAACACTGAGAAATAAATATTAGATAGTCGAAGTTCCGATAAACGATTAATTATTTTATCTTAGTAACTCTTTATTACTAAATAAAATGCATACGATGCGTTGTTGTTTACCTTGAAAAAAATACTGAGAAGGTTAGAGAAAATTGTTAACCTCTTTCGAATACGATAACATTCTATTGGCCAGTAATCATTTGGTTTTTATGGTAATCGGAAATTTTTGAGGCGACCATCACAATATTTTTACACCATTATCATTTTAAAATATTATCCAGGATATTTTTGAAGTAATAATAGTTTGTTCAAACAAAAATTACGAAATATTTTGTAAATCTTACATGTGGCATTGAAATGGGCTCACGTACGTTTGGTTTCGAGTGTGTACACGTTTTCAAAACACATTTGTGGAAATGAAGGGCACGCGAGCTACCGTAACCGCAACAAGGTTCAATTGATTGCAAAATGCATGGGCTTCTTAATTACTGATTTCGAAATTTAGTTTTATTTAGTCGAAGATGCCGCAGTGCGCTGTGGTGGGCTGCAACAGCACCCATCGCAAAACCAAGGGCGGAACCATACGGTACCACCGATTTCCCGGCGACGGGATAACCCGCCAAAAGTGGATTCAGGCGTGCGGGAAACAGTTGAACAACTGCGCCACCGCGAGGGTGTGCTCCAGGCATTTCACCCACGACAGCTACGAAAGGGACGTGCAGCACGAGCTGCTCGGACTTCCAACACGTTGCCGCTTGCGAAAGGGAGCCCTACCCGAACGGAATTTACCCACCGATTTTTTGAAAGAAGAAGTGATACCAGAGACCGCTATAGACATTCTTTTGGCCGTAGGGCTGGTGCCCAACAGTCTCAAGATGGCAGGAGGAATGCCCCAAGAGTGAGTTTACTTTCGCCATGTATTATTCACTTTGCGTAGTGTATTCGAACCGGTATCAACAGCCGAGTCTCCTCCCTTAAACACCCCTTCCGACAGTGTATTCCGCCCTTCTCGCCCCTCCAAGAGGGTCTCTGTTTACCAATGTCGGTTTCGCAAAGAAAATTCGATCCTCCCCACTTCGCCGCGGCGTGCCGTGGAATAGTTCATTTGCCCGAGGGTCCGTGACCGCGTACCAAACGACCTACTTCCACTCCACTCATGCACGGCGACGGGCCTAGCGGCAGGACGGGAGGAGCGGCGGAAATCCACGACGATGCTATGCACCGGGCTTACGAGACTTAATTTATGCGTATTACGAAGGGGGTTCGTTAAGTAAATTGGTTGATTATCGACCACAGTGACTGTTTTATACATTAAATTATTATAAAACAACGTACACTCATTTAAATAAAACATATCCAAAGCAATAATGTACCTACACCATTTGGGAAAAAGGGCTTTTCAGGGAAGTCGAATCCCAACCTGTGTTAACATAGTTTTTTGATATTTTTTTCCAAAATGCATTTATTCGTTTAGCTATTGACATTTCAACTTTTACACGATGTATTAGATACCAATATGGGTTGCCCAGTGTAATCATCTCATTTTGGTTCAAATCGACTAGTTTTTTCTATATAATAAAGAGACCATGCAAGAAAGAGTAATATTATTCAAATAAAAAACTAAAAGGGGAACTATGTTATCTATAACTTGTTTTTTATCTTTCTTTATTTAGTAGGGGCGTGTATTTTACCATTGGTCCAGTAGAACAGTTCCACCAAATTACAAATGGAAAATTCTAGTTCATGGAGACCGAGTCTGGAACTTTAAGGACAAATAATTTTTCAATCGAAAGGATTGTACTTCTTTATAAAAGGTAAACATTCAATTTTCTTGGTTTCTTCAAGAAACTTTCTTGACCCATTGCTGGTATTATTCAAGAGGAATTAAACCTACTTGAATAATACCAGTAATGGGTCAAGAAAATTTCCTGAAGAAACTAAGAAAATTGAATGTTTACCTTACAGTTTTGCCTGGTTGGCTAATTCTAGATTCCTTTAGGCCATATTGTATCTGTGATACAATTTGCCATGCGTTGCATAGTAAGTACCGATCGCGGCAAAGGCTACGTCTTTAGACGGTATTGATTACGCGATGTTCTTACATCTCGCCTCTGTTACCTTACTTGGGCAGTATATAAGCTCAGGTAGTCTTTTGCAAGTGTTCCACTACACCAAGTGGCCCGACACTGATGAGACCCAATATAGGTGAAAACTCTGGCGAGGTGTAGGTTCAATTCCTTCTTTATAGAATAATATAACAAAATAATGCAATCCTCTTAACAAATCTAAGGGTTCTTAATTTGCAATAGCTTGAAACTTGAAACACAATAAATCAGTAAAAAGCTCATTTCCTCAATGTTAGTAAAGTTTCAAAAATGGCGGATGCGCCGGGTTAATCTAACAAATTAAACAACCAAGCCCTTCCTTTTGGCGAATTGCATTCAATAGGCACATGGTGCACACCTATTCTGTAGGCCCCTGTATGAATCATACCAGCAGCGCACTTTCGGGCAAGCGAACAGCGTTTGGCGATTCGTGCGTCTCCGCGAGCCGCTGTCTCCTCGTCGCCGTCGCCTAGACGACCGCGTCGACTGCAAAACGTTCTACGATCCAATTTTTCGTGATACCTCTCCCACGTAGCACGCAGGCCGCCGCTCCTTCGCACACGTGTTTTTGTGTGCATCACACACGGCGAACGCTATTAATTTTTTTATCCGCTTTCTCTCTTCGAGCGCGCGCGATATTTCGAGGAAAAAAAAAAGTGCAAGTGGCGAAAAAAAAAGTATGTCGCGCGATCGCGTTCTGGGTTTGTGTACGCCGTGCACAGTTTTAATGGAGTAATCACAAAACAAATATAGATTATACAAAGTGACCTCAATTCAACGGCAATCAAGCTATTAGTAAACAATGTTTTAATTTTCGATTGTACGGACAGTTTTTTCGAGGTACATGTTTACAGTGCGTTATTGAAATTTTGTTGGTGAGTTAAATTCGTTTTTGAAAATTGGCGAGTCTTTGTCGTCCTTGTTCTAAAAATCGGTTGCATTGTTTCGAGTGGCATTTTTTGCAAACTATGGGGGTCATAGAAACTGGAGCGGCATAGTTACCATTGTGGTTTCCAATTTTATATGCTCTTTCTTTTCATTTTGACCTTTATGCATTTTTATTCTTGTTTAACCTTTATATAATTGCATTATGGTAGCTAAAAGATAGCACGGTTTCAAGGATTTCTGAATAACAAGAATTCTCCGAACAAGAAACAACATGCCAACATTAAAACTGTGCGAATTAAAACACAAAATGTTTTTAAATAATTTATTTAGAAATACATTATATTGCTTACATTGTGTTACATTTGTTCTATTTTTAATATTTGCTTGGTATAGCAAATATTTACCAATCGATATTTATATAGACATTTTATGTAGAACAAATATTAAAAATATTCCCCATTAACAAAAAAAACACAAAGGGCATAAAGTACTGTAACTAAATCTAAATGCTAAATCTACCATATTTATAAGCTAAGGTTGACTGAACCGCAAACGGACACAGTTTACTAAACGGTGGACTTATTTCCATTCTTATAGATGTATAGACTTTCATAACTATCTAGCAGACTTGGTTCCCTAATTTTCTTAATAAGTTTAAGGTTGTCAAATACTATTCTATGGCCATCATCAAGTATATTTTAAGCAACACTCGATTTCTCTGTCCTAGTTTGCCCAACAATTTTTGGAATTTTATCTTTGGGGTTGCCTAAAAGGGTCTGCCTTGTGTTTCTGCTTGAACTAAGAGCTATTTGAAGTCCAGTTTGCGAAAAATCCCTTCCAGACCTCAGGTGTACTGGGGTTCGAAAGGAATAGTCTGGAAGGGATTTTTCGAAATGATTATAATTTTATTTTGAAAAATATTCACTTACCTACCTGGGTTTAATTTTAAATAAATGGAGTAACTCGTAATCTTATCAATTACGTCGAGTTCTCAGTAAGAGGTAAATTAACAACAACAATGTTTATTTTCCTACATTTACCCAACAACTGAGTAAAAGCTCAAATTCGTTTTATAATATTAAAAAATAATCTTTGTTTCAGCTTAAATAAGATGCACATCATGGAAGACGTGAGGGAGGGATGCAACGTGCAACCGTCTTCACCTGGCCACGCCAACACCAACAAGGACCCCAAAGGCGAGATCGGCCAGGAGAACGGATTCAAACCGGACAACGTGCACACGGAAATCGAGCTGTACAACGGCATCAAAGAGGAAAAACGCGACTCGGAAGGGGAAGGCGAGAAATCGCCCAACGCCAACCACTTGAACGACGACGGAAACAGCAACTCTTCGTCGGACACGCACGGTCGAAAGAGAAAGAGCGAGTCGGACGAGTCGCCGGCGAAAAGGCTGAGGACGGACATCCAGGAGAATTTCACCGCGAGAGACAAGATTTTCAACGACTACATCGAACTGACCGACTGCAGCACAATAGAGCAGATCCAGTCGAACACCGAGCAAGTTTTGAGGCAGATCAGGACGCTGAACGAGCTGGCCAAGGAGAAGGAGCGGGAGTGGAACAACATCATCCACCTGAAGAAAATCAAGGAAGAGCTCCTGCTGAGGATGCAGCGCAGGAAACAAACCATGCTGCTGGGAGAATCGGATCTCCTTCTGGGCGATAACGACCCCGCGCCCAAATCATCCAACGCTCAACGTTTATACAAAAACACCAACGGCATCGACATCGGGTTGGTGGACTTTAGGCAAGGGAAGAGGCCGGTGATCGACGTGCAATCTCTCATCGCCGATTACAGGCAGCGACACCCGGAGCAGGTTCCCCGAAGGGGCAGGAGGATCAGGTCGATGCAAAACGAGTCGAGGAGCATCGTCAACATGGCCCTAGGGTCAGGGGCGTCCGTCAAACAAAACACCCCGGCTCCGGAAGATCTCAGCATGATGGTACGCATTAAATAAACAAACATTAAACCATATGAATATAACATTATTTTTAATAGCGGTTACTTTCGCATAATGCGTTAAAGTCATGCAAATTACTATTTTATGTTAATAGTAAAATCTGCTTGCTTGCTTATTTAAATATACATTTAAAACGATTATTAAACTACATAATTAATGTAAATATTAATATTAAATATATATGTTGTGAAATATAGTAAAATAATGCATTCACGTTATAATCGTATAAAGGTGTAAAGCGATAATAAGTTAATTACCATCTTTACTTTAAACGTTGTGAAATAATGATGGGCTTTTATGTGCATTTATTTTAATACGTGTAATTTATATTGCATACATTTCCATCGTATTAAAATAACTTGTTTTTCAGAATGCCTTATCAAACCTAAGCAACGAGTCCATGTTGAAGGATAACGCATCCTTTAAGGACATGCTGGTGCACCTGGCGCAATTGTCTCAAGGCGAAAGAAACGAACTAATCCAGAATGCCATCAAACCACCGCCACCTTATCCAGAAGTTACCGTGCATCCGGTACCTACGACCACCTCAACTCATACCAACTCGCTGTTGCACGGAATATTAACCAAAGTATGACAATAGTGTTTAACAATGAAAACAATATTATTTACATATTTTATTTTAGAGTCCTCAAAAATCCAACAGCAAAACCTCGTTTAGCCCGACGTTGGCAAGACTGCTCACCGCCCCCGAAAGAGCAAATAGCAATCACGCTACTTCTACTCCAACAATCTCGAATAGTACCTTGGGGCACCCCCCGAATATGTCCATTTCGGAAATACTATCCAGTAACAAGGTAAGACAGAGAAAAACCTACTGGAAAAAATGTTGATACTAATTAATACTCCTTCTTAGGCCCGAAATGAAATAACTATAACGCCTGTGGGCTTCGAGACACCAGAAAAACGAAAACACGTGAGTATGACTTTTATAAATACGCTTTCCCAAGTATGATTCAAATAATGCAAATGCAACAAAATGTTTCCAAACAACTCATTTGGTAACTTTTGTTTTATGCTTACATTTGTTCTATGTTTAATATTTGCTTAGCAAGTAAAATACCTATTGAAAATATATACAAATCTAAATTTATAGTTTAAGGTTTAAAGTAAATGAGGATTTCACACAAAAACTAAAATCATAAAATAAAAACTTAAAACCTTTTCTATTGAACCTTAGGATGACGAAGAGTCCGAAGATCATCCCGATCGGCTCGTTATCGACGAAAGCACGGAATCTGCCGAAGGTAGACGAGGCGACAACAGTTCGGACACCGGCGATGATGTGCCTCAGTGCCAAGGTTGCAACCTGAAAGCCGCGCAGTTTGTGTGCGCGGGCTGCGGCAATCAGTGGTACTGCAGCAGGGATTGCCAGGTAATTGAGTTACCATGTTTTGAAACCCTCAATCAAGGTTTTTTTCATCTCTTTTAATGATTTTAACTAAAAGAGAAAAAAATCTAACGCAAAGAATAAGCAACCTAGTCAGCATCCAATTCAGAAAGATTTCAGTATGAAGTCTTTTAAACAGCTCCTTTTTATGAGCTCAGAATTCTGAGCTGTTAATGAACTCATAAATAAGAAGTCAATTTTTTTACGTACAAATGAAGATCTTTTCTTGGCCTCTTTTTGAACAATTTATTTTGAGATTACAGAGTACCTATTCTTTTTTCTTACTTCCAATTGAAATCATACTATTAACTATTTTAGAAGTCAACATGGAGACGTCACATGTGTGACATTTTAATGCGATTACTTTCTTCTCACCGCTGTAACTGCTTGTGTTTCATATAAGAAGTGGCGAAGTACAATTTAGAGCGTGCTCCATACCAAACGGTCTTAGACCTAGGTAAACGGCTACCCGATACTGACGAGCTCCAAAAGAGCGAAACATGCCGTCTATCGTTGCCGGTGAAGAGCACGCTTGAATTTAAACAAAAGTAAGACGAAGTAATCGCAATTCCTAAAATAAGCGAATACGAGCAAATTAATAAAATGATTTTAATAAAATCAATTTAACAAATTAATAAAATAAACTTGATGTGTCAAAATAAGCAACGATCCAGTAAGCAATTTCTTCATCAGTACCCTAGTACGGTACTAGTAGTACCTAGTTCTTTTTTGAGAAGTCTTGATTAGTTCAATAGGTGGCGCATTCGAAGTCTTAAGGACTTCTTAAAAACTTCTTTCTGATGTTGTATTTGACGTCCAAATCATAAAATAGAGCTTATGCAGACTTAATTAAGACGTCATATTGCTGTCTGGGAAGACAAGAATAAAAACGATAGCCAATCCCAATACATGGCCATAGAGAATTCTTTAAATTATATATATCTTAAATTGTTTTATATAACTTTTTTTCATGTACTTAACAATTCAATAAAAAAACAATTTATTCTCTTTTTTAGGTTTCCGCTTGGGACGAACATTCAGAAATATGTTCAGGATAAATTATTACCAAACTAGTGTAAATTAGTTACAGAAAGTGCAAAAACATTAATATAAATATTTATCCGTAAGAATTAGAAACATATTATGTAAGTTAGGAGCAACGTGCATTACTAGTATACATATATTACAATGCCTATAGTATTTCTACATTTTTTTTTAACTTAAAATAAAACCACTATATTTATGCCAAAGAAACCCAAAGTTGACCTTGAAAATAAAAATAGTTCTTAATCCTAAATATAGCCAAAAATTTTACAAGTTTGTGTGCAAGAATGTGTAAAACAATTACTATTAGTTCCATTTTAAATTTATTATTTAATGTACTTATTTAGATTTAAATAAGGCTTTGTACATTGCAATTAGCTAATAGTCATTTAAATCATTTCATAAATAAGGGGCCGTTCACATATTACGTCACGTCATAGGGGAGGGGGATTCGTACTAAGCTCCAAAACCAAAAGTCCCATCTTGATGTTTGAATAAAAATAATTAATCAATATGCCAGTTTAATGCTAATTTCATCGTTTTTTTTAATAATATATAGATTGTATTATTTTCAAAAAAATTAGACGAAATTAGCGTTAAACTGACAAATACATAACCTCAATTATTTGTATTCAAATGTCAAAATCGCGTGACGAATATTGTTTTGTTTAATTTATTTAAATTTAAATTCATAAATGAGTTCAAGACTTTAAAATGTACAACTTATTTTACCTGTATGACAGTGTTAAAATAATTATTTGCAATGTGTTCTGCTCTTACAATTATGTTATTATAAGGGACGTATATAAAAGCAAAATCGCGATTTAAAACAATTTATAATTTCAAAACCTTTGCTGACAATAAACAATAACCAATAAATCAAAATATTCCCTTGATTGTGCGATTATAAATAATATTTCTTTAGTAATTTAATTTTTTATGTGTTTTACTAGTCATAAAATAAATAGTTACCTACAATGTAATTTTGCAAGTTTTTATGTAATTGTTGTGTCTGTGCCATTAATCTCGAGTTGTATAAATTTGTATCATCTATTTGATTGTTTTTTTTTTAGTTTAAATCAGGCAAAATCTGTAAGATATAATTCTGTGATATCCATAAATTGGATCAATGATACTTAAATTTGAAAAATACAGTATCTTTCATAAGTAATTTGTTAGTTTTACTTTCATGTCCAAATAATCGTTTAGCTTGTCGACACACTTGAAAAGAGTATTTTTCATAAGGACTACCATATAAAAAACATAATTACAATAATAATATTAAGGTAAAAGCTCACCCCTGTCAAAATCTCCATTTTCCATAATTCTCCAATATGTATCCATAATAAATAATGAGCAACAACTTAATAACTAACTAATTTAAAATAGAAAAATAAACCATAAACTATAGAAAAACGCAAGAAATAAAATCATCTGTCATTTCCGTACGTCATTCATTTGTTTTTTGTTGTGGCTGAACTTGGCAACAAGCTGTCAAAGCCAGCTGTTTATTTTAAATTACGCGGTAGTTTTGTGTCAAAAGTTTGTGTTTTTTATTAACAAAATAACTGTGGAATTACAGCATAGATAAAAAAAATATTGAAAGGGGAAGTTACTATTTTATTTAGTTTTCACGTTTTTACTGTACAATTAAAAACAAAAATATTAATGGTTAATACACAAAAACTTAATAGACCTGTCATTTTAGTACGTCATTCGTTTTTTGTTGTGGCTGCTTGGCAACGAGCTGTCAAAGCCAACTGTTTATTTTTAATTACGCGGTAGGTTTGTGTCAAAAGTACTCGGTTTGTGTTTTTTATTAACAAAATAACTGTAAAATTACAGCATCGATCAACAAAATCTCTAAAGGGTAAGTTTTTTGTTGTTTTATTTAGTTTTTACTGTACAATTTTCAATATAAATACTTTTTGAAAAGTACAATTATTGACATCAATTATTGATTTCTAATGACTGTTAGGTAAAGTTGTGTTTTAAAATTCAAGCAACTATAGTTTAAATAAGAATTAAACCGATTAATTTAATAGTCCTTACTCAATAAGTAAGTATTATACAATGCTTTTTGAGCATTCTTGAAATTTGCGACTTTGCTTTCTATGGAAAATGATCTCCATAAAAAGCATTAAATCAATTGAAGCCTGGTATTTTCCACAGCACACTAGGTGAGATGAAGAATGCTGTGTTCTGATAGGTTTATTGCTTTCTATGGAGATCATTTTATATAGAAAGTCGCTAATTTCACACCCCCAGGGATCTAAATGTGAATAGGTAGGTATTAAAAGAAAAAATGTGAATTAAATTTTAGTTTTTTATTGCAATATAACAAACATACAGGCGTTGATTGACTCAACCATACAGGATTATTGCATTCGAAAAATAATATGCAGGAATAAAAAACTTAATATACCAACTATTAAAAGCATAAAATGAGGAAGAAATTCCTGAAATTGTCACTATACAGTATACCTTGCAGACAGCAAACCGTTTTCGCTTGAAGAAATATTTACATTAGTTTAAGTATAATAAAGCAAAATATTTATTTGACTACAATAAAATGGCAATGTTCAATATTTTTATTTACTTATTTAACATAATTGATATGCTGATATTTTAATAGTTTAATATATTAAATGGTGGTTATAAAATTTTGCTTGAAACTCTATGCAGCAGGTATTAATAAAAAAGTACAAACCTTTAAAAACATTAAACATAAAAAATGATTGTATTAATCAATTCCTTACCGATGGTGTTCTATAGTTTATTAGTAAAATATAAATAAAAATAAATAGCGTTTTAACTGAAAGTGAACAAATAAAAAATGGACATAGAACACCATTTGTAGAAAAATAATGGCAGCGTTGCCAACCCTGGGATAATTTTCCTGGTCTGGGGAATTTTTTAAACCTTCTTGGAAGCAAATAATTTAATATTTGTGTTTGTTTAGTTATCAATTTTTATTTTTCATAAATTGTTTTTTTTTAGTTTCAATACCACACCCAAAAAAAAAATTGTGCTTTTCAAAAAAAAATCAATTAAACAAATTCCCAGGGGAATATCTGGAAAAATTCGCATAACCCCAGGGATATATCTCGATAAAAAAAGTTGGCAACGCTGGATAATGGTAAAATGCAGTTAACAACGTTATCATTAAACTTTATAAAATTTCATAACTTCACTAGAGTAACAATATATAAAAACGTTTTGATCTCAAAGTGTTAAAAAAACCTAAAATTGAAACAGTCTATAAGTCCGTGCTGTCGCCCTTTTTGGCGGCGGTGGGAGGCGGGGGGGGGCGGCTGCGTGGGTTTGTTCAGGCTGCGGGGGGACGGGGGCGTTTTTAGCAGCGAAGTCGGCGAGATATCGCAAGCGATGTTGCCGTCCGACTTTGTCCGGACGTGACTAGGTTTCGGATTGCCGTTCGTTTCGTTCAGCTTCTCGTTCGACTTCGACAGGTTGTCGTAGCACTTCGGCGGCAGGTCGTTCGACTTCGGCGCCTGATCGGCAGCCTGCCAAAATAATCGGTTTGTATTTTCAGAGAGGTCATTTTTTTCTGGATTAAATTTCCCCGACTTTTCAGCGAATTTTTTAATTAATTTTCTCTTTTTTAGGATAAAAGTAATTTAATTAAGTATATTCGTATAAAAATTATGTATATAAATATAAAAAAAGTTGACTTTTTTGTCACTTAAAATATGGTATGTAGGTATTTTGGGTAGTAAAATTTAAAATGAATAAAATGAAAATTTAAGTAAAATAAAATCAGGCTAAAATGAAAATATTTTCTTTAAAACGGATTTTATTCCATAACACTTAAAGTTATGGTTACCGTAGACAACTAGGTAATAACACTAAAATCCCATCTCTAGTTATATATAATTAATAAATTTCCTGACATTTCCCGGTCTCCAGAAAATGTATAAACATAATTTATTTCCATTTATTAATAGAAAATTTATTAACATTATTTTTTTCCATTTATTATTTTAATATTTTTAATAGTATATTATTATACGAGAAATAATGCGCATAATCGCGAGTGTAATAATATACTTTTTCTACTCCTATTACGGAATTTGACCGTTCTAATATCACTTTTATCTATGGAATGACATATATTTCATAAAGTGTTACAGAATGAAATATTCTATCATCCGATGACAGAATATACACTCGTGGCGACATCTCTGTTTTTAATATCTAACAAATTTTAGTCCGATCCAACCTCACTTTCTTCCAATTAAATTATTTTTCTATGGTATTTTTTGGAAACGTAGAAAAAGTATAGTCTGAAACACGTTTGGAATTGCATATTCCGCTCTCGTGAAACCGTCAAACTCGCCTTCGAGCGGAATATGCTGTATTCCAAACTTGTTACAGAATATACTATTTTCCAATTTAATAAGTAGATAATTAAATGAACTTTAAAAATAAATAAATAAAAAAATCATTAAATATTCCCCCAATTTAAAACCCCATTGGTTCAAATCATTGTAAATATTGAAACCGGCAATGCCTAAAAACGTGAATCGGAGAGATTACGAACAGTACAAGTCCAAAAAATAATTTTGACAAGTCATTTTCTAAAATTAATTTTTTAAAGTTCAAAATACATTTTTGTGAGAAGATATAAATCATTTTGCTGAATACGCTAAAGAAGTATCGCTAGCAGCGCCACCACTCGGCCGTTATCATCGTAACAAAAGTACAAATTTTAATAATCAGCTGTCAAACGCTTATGTTACAAACGAGTGTTTTTGTGAATAATGCCGGAAAATGTTAAAAAATATCGAGAAAAAAACCGTGGCTCGATTTGTTGTGTTGTTGGGTGTATTTCGAGAGGAAATACTGGGTTGAGTTTTTAACGTTTTTCCAATAAACAGTGTTAATCTTAATGAAGAAATAAATTGCACACAGTCTGTAAATATAAATTGTACCTATTAGATACAATAAATACACATTTAATTAGTGATTAACGTGTAAAGGGTAAACATTTAAATTCAGTAAAAATCGTCAAACAAATAAGTAGTCTAAATTTAAACAGGATTTAGCATTGTTAAAAGCGTTGATTAAGAAAGTCTCCACTCAACGGTAAAATACCATTATATTATGTATTATATACATATTATGTTGCCATGAATTCGTGGGTATATTTTGTTGTTTAAAATGCAGTTGTCGGCGTTTTTTAGAGAACTCAAATATAAAAATGGGTGATTTTAAGGTTATGTTTGTGCAAAAATTATTATTTACCAATTTCTTAAAAATGTCCAAACTTTGGCAAAACATGAAAATGCAACAATTTAGTTCTTGAATTTTATTTACAATTAAAAACACAATAATTCACCATGATCCCTTAGATAAAATACACAAACTAACGTAACTATATAAGCATTTAAGGGTTGAGTTTCTTAATCAAAGATATAAAGAATAATCAATCGAAATCGAGTACTAAAAGAGTTTTTTAATTTTTACCTTGCAACGTAAAACACAAATAACGCGCGAGATTGAACAAAATTTGTCTCTTTTGTAAAAAAACTACATACTATTTATTTAAAAATGATGTACAGTTCGTATGCTTTAAATGTATTGTTATCAATTCTTAAATTCACGCATTCGAAGTCCACCAGATGGCGATATTCTCAGAAAAATGCATTTAGAACTATAAAACTGATTTTTTGAAATATTTTCTGAAAATTTTAACTTTTTGACTTGTACTGTTCTTAATCTCACTGATTCAATAATATACCATTATGCAAAACTATATTATAGAATTTTTTTTTTTGATAAAAGCAAAACCCGAAATTTTATAAACAAACTATAAATGTTATTAATATTACCTTGGAATTTGACTCGTTCGACTGCTTGATCAGACTCATGCGCGGCATGGGCACCGCCTTCTGATCGTTGTGGTGCAAAAACCGCTCCTTGTGGCTCATCTGCGTGTCGTGCCCCGGCTGGAACTGCTCCGCGCTGTTCGCCACGTTCACCAGGCACGCTTGCTGCCTGCTGGCGACGCTGTAAACGGAACACTGCGTCCTGTGCGGCGCCGGGTCCTCGGCCGAAGACCGCTTGACGGCCAGGGAGGCCGGTCGCGCCGGGACTTCCGGCTTGGCGGGCCGCTCCGCGTCCGGCCTGCGCAGAGCCACCTCTTCCGCCTCCTCGTTCGGCGGGGCTCGCGGCGCCGCGATCGGCTGGCCCACCTTGAAAACCGCCGTCGCTCTGACGGTCTCCGTTTCTTGCGCTTGCGCGAGCTCCACCGGTTTGGCTTTAGATATTTGCGCGTTGGCGGCCGCTTGCGTCGCGTATTTGTGCTCGACCAACTGCGGTTCTAAAGTTTCGTCGAACGATATGAAGTTATTGTCGGGTTTCGGCGGTTGGCTCAGGTTGATTTTCAAGGATTTTATCGCTTTCACTTCGTTGCTAAGTGGTTTGACTAGAGTCTGGTTGTGATCCTATTCGGGAATAAGTTCGTTTTAAACGATTTTTCATAAAATAAATGTATAAAAAAATATATCAAAAATTGAACGATTTAATAAAAATACGGTTAAATATGTAATACACCCATAATAATTAATTCAATACGAGCAGGTAGTACATTCTAAATATATTTTTAAATAAATCCCTAAGACGCAGATGTTGACTAACAAATTTTCAATAAATCCCAGAATCTTCTTGTTTTTGCGGTGTTGCCAAAAGTTACAAGAATCTATTTTTTGACACATTTCTAAAAAAGTTTTTCGAATTTTTAAGAAAATTATAAGATTTTTAAATTTACCTAAATTTCTGGCATTTTAAAATTTCCAAAAATGACCAGAATCTTATGCTTATGCGGTGGTGCAAAATTTCAAAAAAAACAATACTTTTCCAACATTTTCCGAATTTTTGAAATTTTCAAATATCTGGTTTAAAAATACTCGAAAATGCTACTCGAAATTTTATAATTTTTTATAATTGTCAAATTTACCCATGAAACCTTTGCATTTAATAAAATTAAATGCAAAGGTTTTTGTGACATTAACTAAGAACTTTGAACTTTGAACTGTCTGGTTTTTTTAGGTGAACATTAGCAACATTGCTAAAATTTCCAACATTTTCCTAAATATTTATAATTTTTCACAATTTTAAAATTTCGGAGTTAAGATTTCTAAATTCTCAAAATTTCTGGAATTTTGCAATTTCCAAAAATTACCACAATCTGAGATTATGCAGTGTTGTAAAATTTCAAGAAAAACAAAATTTTTAAACTTTCCAAAATTTTATAAAATTTACATTATGTTATGGTATTATAATTATATCAAACGTTTTTTTATAAATCCTATTATATTTAATTAAACAATATGCCAAATATAAAAATACTAAATATATTTTTGTAGAATAGTGTATTCAATCATTGCTAGTTCTCAAAAATGTAAAGTAAGTTTTAAAAAACTATTATTTTTAGCCTAATAAGTTTTTTCATAAAATAAATGTATAAAAATTTTATAAAACTATAAAAAAATATATCAAAAAATGAAAGATTTAATATGTAATACATCCAAAATAATTAATTCAATACGAGCAGGTAGTACATTTTAAATATAGACATATTTTTAAATAAATCCCTAAGTCGCAGATGTTGACTATTTCTATTTTCCGTAACTGTACCTTTGCTTTGTTTTTTTTTTAATTTCGACCATTTCCCTCGTCTTAATTTCCACCAATCACAAACGCGCAATTTTGAATTAAAAATGGTTTCTAGGTGGAAAAACTGTCAGCAGTTTTTTCGAGTTTACCCGCGGCAAAACTTGACAGCTGTTGTCACCAAAAGTTGCAATTTATATTTTAATTGTTAACTGTTACTCATGAAATAGTCTTGTCAAATACCATTCGGGCAACAATGCTAAGTAATATTTTTTAACAAAATGCATTCGTGCAGGTGCAAAAATCCTCGTCTTCGACTCGCATTTTTGTGGCCATTCATGCTTCTTGTTAAAATATTACTTAACAAAGTGTTTTTTCGTTATTTTTCGGAAAAATTAGATGCCCTTATGATATTACTTACGAGTATCACCTTGCAGGGACTTACCTCTGCATTGATGTTTTTGCTTTTCGACAAGCTCAAGTAGTTCTCGTCCGTGTTGACTCCGACGGTGGACTTGGGCTTGGACTTGGGCGGACGGTGCAGCGTGTTGCTGCCCGACGGATACGAGGCCGTCATGCTTCGCGCCGCGTCGTTGTTCGTCGGCTGGATGTCCTGATCGGTCTTGCTCGGTATCGGGATGTCGGGCGCGCGCTTCTTGCCCGCGCGCTGGAACGGCCGCGGGCTGTCGATGTTGTTGATGCTCTCGTTACTTGTGCCGATGTCCTCGTACCTGGGTTTAAGGTTTTTACAATTTTATTTTCACTGTTTATAGTTATCGAGATAAAAAAAATGTCAGATTCGCGGCACATTACGTTTCGTTAAACGCATGCGACCGTTTCCATATCGATTTAATCGATTTATTTATCTCGACATTTAAATCAATAAAAATCCAAACCAAATTTTAAAAAATCAGGAATTTCTGAGAAAACTAAATTATTAAAGTTATACTTCTTTGGCGGAAGTGTCGTCATAGAAAAACGATACTAGTGGCTGTGCATAAGTGAGAAAGATTTCCAAATTTTCCAAAATGTTCAAAATTTCACGTTTAAAAGAATTGTAAAACTCATCAAAAATGTTTTTGGTGTTGCCAGATTTCCAAAATTACCAGGAGCTGCGATTTTTTGCGATACTGCCAAATTTTCAAATCTCAGAATCTGGAATTGTTTTGTTTTTGCGGTGTTGCCAAAAATTACAAGATTCTATTTTTTGACACATTTTTAACAAAGTTTTTCGAATTTTATTTAAAATTTTCCAAAATATCTCGAATTTTGAAATTTCGAAAAATTACCAGAAAATGGTTTTTTGCGGTGTTGCCAAATTTTCCAAAAAATCCAGAAACTGCAATTTTTTGCGACGTTGCCAATTTTTTAAAAAATCCTAGAATCTGGAAACTTTGTTTTTGCGGCGTTGCCAAAATTTACATTACATTTACATTATTCTAAAAAAGTCTTTCGAATTTTATAAATTTTAAAGAATTTCCAAACTTTTTCAAGATTTTTAAATTTTTCAAAACTTCTGGAATTTTAAAATTTCTAAAATTTACCAGAATCTGTTTTTTTTGCGGTGTTGCCAATATTTCCAACATTTTCGAAAATATTTAATGATTTTTCATAATTTTCAAATTTTCGATATAACAAATTTTTCAGAGTTTTTAAATTTAAACAAATTTTCTTTGAAATTCTTAAAAATTGGATTGAAAAGATTTCCAAATTTTTTATTTTTTTTAAATACCTATGTAGTTTTAATTTTCAAAAATTTCAATCTATTTTTTGCCACATTTCTAGAATTTTTTTTTAATGAATTGTTAAAATTTGCAAATTTTTTAGGATTTTTAAATTTTCCAAATTTCAAAAATTACCAGAATCTGTTTTTTTAAGATGTTGTCAAAATTTACAACATTTTGTTGAAAAACAAAATGGTTTCGGTGTGGCCAAATTTCCGAAAATTGCTGCAATTTTTTGCGACGTTCCCAAATTTACAAAAGTTACAGAATCTGGGACCTTTTTGTTTTTGCGGTGACAAATTTTTAAAAATTGCATAATAGGTACTATTTTTTGCCACAAACAAAAGTTTTTTTAAATTTTATAAATTATGAAGTATTTTTAAAATTAAAAAAATTCCTAAATTTGACAAAATTTACGTTTTCCAAAATATTTTAAATTTTAAGATTTTTCACAATTTTCAAAATGTTTTTGAAAATTACAAAATTTACCAGAATCTGGGCTTATGCTGTATGGCAAAAAAATTTTTAAACTTTTCAAAATTTGCCAAAATTTTTAACATTTTCTAAATTTTCAAATAATTTAAAAATAGTCAAAATCTTATATTTTTTTACAATTTACCCATGAAAGGTTTTGTGACATAAACTAAAAACTTTGAACTGTGTGTATTTTTTATAAAACATTATTTACATAAAAAAATTTACAAAAAGAACTCCCATAAAAAATTTAAAAAATTCACTATTTTGTTTAATATAAAAACCCGGTTAAAAGTTATTTTTGCCCAAAGAAAGATTTTATCTTCCTAAAAAATTACATATTTCGTGTAAAAAATTCGAAATAAAAACTGCCGCAAGATTGGGAAGATTAAATTTTTTTTAACTGTTTGTATTTTTGTAAAACATTATTTACATCAAAAAAAAAAATAACGAAAATAGTTAAAAGTGCAATGACCCCTATAATTAACTTGATCATAATTAAATTTCATACCTGTGGTATTTGTGCTCGAGGTCGCAGTACAAATGATCGATCTTCACCAGCTTGCTGACGTCGTCGGGGAAAAAAGTGTGCACCTCCTTGATAAAAATTTCCACGAGCATGTTGATGGTCGCGCAGTTCCCCATGTTCACCTGCGTCTGCTCGTTCTGATCCCACAGCAAACTCGGCCCTATCACCACCGCCATATTGGAAGCGTTCATCTTGTTCTCCTTGTGCTGCGTCAGTTTCGCCAAGAACTGCACCAAGTAAGCCAAATTGTCTCTGTTGCCGTCCGGCAGTCGTTGCAGCAAGCCTTTGATCACGCCGGTCCTCTCCTGGTTGTCCGGGTGCTTCACCGACTGCATCCACTCGTCGTGCAGATGATATGTTAAAAGTGGATCTGGTAGCTCCCTTAAGTAACACTTTATTATACTCGCAAGCACGTGCACGTCGTGGTACTCCGGTATCAAGCCGCGAAAAAAACCGGAGTCAAGCGAGGCCTTCAGTCTTTTTATCTTGGAAATGCTGCCCGCCACCCGAAACAACCCCTCTTCCGTCATTCGCTCGCTCAAGGCCGTAATGCAAATCTCCAAAGGCATCGCCAGGTGTCGCTTGTTCACCCGCAAGTGCTCTTCCAGCGACGTCCCGAACATTTTCTTCACGCTGCTGTTCCCGATGCACTTCTCCAGCTCCGGTATGTTGCTGTCCAGGTAGTTGAACGCGCTGTCGTAGTAGGCCCGCTGCAGCTTCAGGTATTGCAGAATGCATGAAGCCATCTCGCTTTCCTTCGACAGCACGTTGAACATCTCCAACGCCAAAATGTCCCTAGTTTGTTCCACCTTCTGGTCCGCCTCTTCCATTATTTCCTTAATTGTGTCCTTTTGACTAGACTGAAATTAAAAAGTTCAATTGTGGTTAGCGATTAGCTGAATACAGCAGTGCGGATCCTCAAGTAATTAACTTTCCAAATAATCGCGCTACACCCCTTTCTACACCGCATTTTTCGCTCTCGCTTGATAAAGTTTCATGCTAAATAAGCATGATACAAAAAATCATCAAACAAGTGTCTTCTTGGCACCGCTGCATTATGGTTTATCGGCGGAAAAAATACATTTTTAAAAACTTTTTATTATGGGTATTTTTATGACGATAATTTGTTAAAAACATAGTAGAATGTTTTTAAAACAGTAAAATTGGCTGAAAATTACGCACCATTTAATAAACTATATTTTTTAATCAAACAAAAAAAATTATATATTTTTTAAATAAGTTGAAATACACCTTTATCTACATATATAAAATTCCTATTTAAATAAAAAAATTAAAATTAAAAGTTATAACCTTTTAAAGACACATTGGTAAAATAAAGAGAAAAAAATTCATATAGGCATTTAACTACGATTGCCTCCGATTTCCACATTAATATCTACATGAGGTTGTTCAGTAAACTTTACTTTATAAGTACACAAAAATATCTGCATATATGGAAAAGTTATGAATTATTATTTATCTCGCTGCATGGCTAAATCGCGAGCGCTCGTACCTAACAAATTATAAGGTCGAAGATTCTTTAGTAACCTAACTTTAGTTTCCCAAATAACGGAGGTTGTTTTTAATTTCATAAGTAGATTTCATGTAATACTTCAAACAATAACCTGCCAAAGGTCAATCGATTCAACCAAATTTGGAAAATATTCTGCAGAAATGGTGAAATGCCAGTGACAGTGCATAAATTATTAATCTATGGAAAAGAAGACTTTCTGAGGAAGCTCAAGAATCTAGAAATAGGAATTTTAGAAAATTTCGATATTTGTTCTCGAGAAAAACAAATCAAAAATCAATAAACGAGAATATATTTCATCGTCTTTTAATAACGTCTGACCCCCTAATACTTTACTTACTTGATGAAGAAGTTAAGGAATTATTAATGAAATAAATGTTAAAATTCAAATTATTTTTATTTATTTCCTAAAGCGTGCTTAGTTAAGATAGTTAAAAAAATATGTAATTATTTACAATAAAAAAAAATTATTTTCGCAATTGTTTCAACTTCAACATTTTTTTAATTAAAATATAGTTAATTATTCCTGTTAAGTCTTATTTAACACAGTAAAAAATAAATATATCTTGGCAATAAAAAAGTTTTTTGATTATTTCCTCAATGGATGCTCTAGATATTTATACGTAATAAGTCTTATTTGAGGAGTGATTTTTCAAAAGGCCTTATTTCCATTTTTACTTGAATGTAATTTTTTGACAAAATCACAAAGGTATGGTTAAAAGGCATATATTAACGGCGAAATATGACAGCAGGTCTGAAGTATTATTAAATATTCGTAAGTAATATCATAAGGGCATTTAATTTTTCCGAAAAGAATCGAAAAAACACGTTGATAAGTAATATTTTAACAAAAAGCATGAGTGCTGGTGGCAACAAAAATTCGAGTCGAAGAGGAGGATTTTTGCACCTGCACGAATGCATTTTGTTAAAAAATATTACTTAGCATTGTGTTTTTTCACCTAGAAACCATTTGTAATTCAAAATTGCGCGTTTGTGATTGGTGGAAATTAAGACGAGGGAAATAGTCATCAGAATTTTTTTTTAAATAAACTATATTACCCTAACCTATACAGGTTATAGTCATTTTTTTGAAAAATTGTTGCAAATGGAAATACGACCTTTTGAAAAATCACTCCTCATTTATCAAAGTAAAAAATAAAAAAAAATAATATTTTTTGCCATAAAAAAGTTATTCCAAGGGTTATTTTCGCAATTGACGCTCTATGAAAATCTAAAAACGGATTTAAAATGTAAAAAACTTTATGGTTTTGGATTAAAGTTATGATAATATAAAAACGCATTTAAAAAATAAAAACCTTTAAAAGTTTTGATTAAAATATAGTTAATTATACGTAATAACTTCTATTTAAAACATAAAAAAAAAGTTATTGATTTTTTTCCGCAAAACGCTGCTTTTTGACCATAGTGCGTTGTAATTTGACTGAATTCTAATTTTAATTTATTTAATAGTAGTTACATTGGGAACAAAAAAAAAATACAAAACTTGTAATAATATATATTATTATAAAAAATAATAAAGATAATTATCTTATAAACTGTTTGTTTGATAAGTTTGTGTTAAATGTAAAAAATATTTTGTTATTGCATGCTTTTTATTCGATTCAGGATTATTTATCATACGAATTCTGATGTTTATATTTGGTTTATTGTATTTAATTTAATTGTATTTTCACTTTTTCTTTTTTGACGTATCCTATATTACTTTGTAATCCTTTGGATAAATAAATATTATTATTATTATTATTAATCTTTACATTAATTTTGTTTAAGCTTTTAAAGTAGAAATGAGTTTAATGTTCTACAAATATTTAATTGACCAGTAGATATAATTCATATTATGGGGTTTAAAAGAGGATATAAAACTGTACTAAACATTAAATAAACGAAATAGTGTTAAATTTTTCTTCATGAAAGTTTTTCTGCTCAATATTATATATGTATATTATTTATTTATATATTTATTTATTTAGGTTTCCATATTATTATTAGTTATTTACTATAGTATAGCTAGCTAATCGGTTTTTTAACTAATTTATCAAAAAACCCTATATTATACAGAGAGTTTAAAAATTAACTAAACATGAAAATTGGTAAAATTTTAAAAAACAATACCTAATGAAAAATTAGTTAATTTAATTTATGTCAAATTCAAATTTTATTTTATTTATTTTTTATAAATTGGTACCTATTATAGTTTTTTTTATGAAAATAAAAATAATAATAAGTTTTTTAAGTATTAAAAAAATTCTTTAATTTTTGTTTAAATTTGCTTTAAAAAATATATGTTGGATAGGATTGATGTTGATCCAGCAAAAATCCAACTGGATTAAAAACCCTACTGGATTTCAATCCCTAATTGTGGTACTGTCAAATGGTAACAATAAGACATTCATAATTTTAGAGAAACCTATGTGCTTTCCGCTATACATAGACAGCAGTATACAAGGACAGCACAGTTAACGAAAATTAACAGCTTTATACTTTACCTGATATCTGCTTGAGGCGGAATCCTTGTCCAAGATATACTTGCTGAGGTTTTTCTTGTTCTTGATGATGTTCGGAAAATCGAGCTCGAGTATTTTCTGCAATGGATTTCCGACCATATCTTCGACCTTGTACTCGTGCTCAGCGAACTCTTTGGCCAAGTCATGTTGGATTTCGGAGAACTTTTTGAAAATCGGCGCAAACAGGCGATCGGGTTCGCCATTTTTATCGTCCTTATACAGTTGCGACAGTTGGTATTCCAACGTCTTTTTCTGCAAAAAAATAAGCCTATAAAAGGATTTAGGGAATGTTGGTGAAAAAAATTATAAATTTAAAATATTTTCAACCAGCATGTATTGAAAGACAAAATTTACTAACAGTTCACTTCTGTATTAAACAATATTATTTCCAAACTTTTTTTGCAAACATTTCTAACCATCATCTTTTAATAGAAATAATTTCTTAAGTATAATTTATTTGGGCAGAATTTTAAAAATCCTAAATAATTATTTTATAAAATTATTCAGATTAAATTGGTAAAATTAAATTTTTAGTATTTAAAAATAGTGTTGAGACATTTAAAATAAAAACATATAAAACATTTTCTACCAAAAAGGTAAATTTTTTAAAAAAATTTGATAATCAAAAAATATTTTAAATATAAAATGCAAATGTAAAAGTTTATGTTTAAAATATTGGATTTTTAAAAATTGTTTTATTTGTAAAGAATCATTTAAATAATTGTTGATACATTTTTAATACAAAAATTCTTACATACATACATATACATTTAAATATTAGTTTTAAATTTTGAAAGTGGTTATTTTTAGATTAAAAATCATTTATATGACTCTTTACAAATTTAAACCAATAACTTTTATTTTTAACAAATTTGGTACATACATATATTTGTTGGTGCATAATTAACTAATGATAACTTTACCTAATATAATTTATATTTAAGTTTGTAAACTTTTAATAAATCTATAGATTATAACCCAAAATAATAGTTATACAAACATCAAAATCAAATCAAACTTTTTTATATTTGAGTCCTCTAAAAAACTTTGACAACCCAATTTTAAAATAGTAGACAAGACAAAATATATGTACGAATTTATACCTATCAACATAATATTGTATATAATACATAATATAATACCCGTTTTTGGTTATTTACCGTTGAGAGAGGACGTTCTCAATCAACGCTTACAATTTCCACGTAAATCATTACTAAAATGTGTATTAATTGTATCTTATAGGAACAATTTATATTTACAGAGACTGTAGGCAATTTATTTCTTCATTCGGATTTAATTTCAAAAATGATTTTTTTGCTGGGCCATATATAAAAATTGTAGTATTTTTATTCTTTAAACAAATTCCAATAAAAATCATTATAACATAATGATTTTTATTGGAATTTGTTGTATTATAGCAAATACAACAAAATAATGACATTTTAATGTGATATAAAATAAAATATTGATTTCAAAAACAAACATTAAAAATAATCTCTACAATTATTGCGTATTATATGTGTACAAATAAAGAAGCTATGGCATAAACAATTGATAAGTTAATTACCAGCACTGGTGATAAATTACTGACTAAGCTGGTGATATTTAAAAAAAATGTTATTTATTTTTAGAATGACATTTACCATTCTTCGGTCTCCATCTCCGCTGGCGGGACTTGTGGGGATTTTTTTGTTAAGGGAAGACAACGATTCATGTAAAAATTCAATTTGTTTATCGGCCTGTTGCAGTTCTGGGTAATTCAAGTCCTCAGTCTTTCCAGCCCTGGAACGAAACAAAAACAAAATATTATGCATGCCAATCGCGAAATAAATTTGCTAATCAGTTCCTGATTCACCAATAGTGTGCACAATAAAAAGTGGAAAGTTGTATTAGATAACCTAACCATTTGCTTACATAAACCATTTCAATTACTTGCAATCATTCAATTTGTTTGAACAAAACAATAATAAATTGGAACGACTTAAATTTGCATATTGTTAATAAACAATTGAATGTAAGTTACTCACTTCCCCAAAGTTTGATCGGCCAATTGTTTCACCCTGAAAAATTGCTTCTTCATCTTACTAAATGCATAAAACCGTCGTCAGCACCACTGGCCTTAATTATTTTGATTTTCTTCAAACTCCAAGCTCGATTAAACTATTTATAATTACTTTATATATACGATGAGATCATTTTCTGATAAATAAGGCATATATCACTTTCCATTTCACAGTTTCTTGTTCGCATATCAATCGCATTTGTTGTCCTAATTGCACACAAATATTGTCAACACTTTTAAAAACTCCCCTACCCGACCAAACAACAAATAAAATTAATAAAACATCAACAATTATACAAAAAATGTCCTACACAGCGACATCACTTTCTATCAATGTTACTAAACTGTCATAAAATAAATATTGATAATACGCTGGTCGGCTCAAAGGAAACCATTATTGCTTATCTTGAGATAGGTAAACCATTATTCAAATATATTCTTTACTTTGATTAAATGCCTGAGAGGTATTTGTTTTTCGGGAAATATTGCATTTTTTAGATTAGTTCGCCTTAAGTTTGACATCTAGTGGGCCATTTTTGAAGTAACATAGTGTGCTTTGCATACTATGCAACCAAGAATACTCGCCTCGTTAAAGTGTTTGCATATGGACGTTGAGTGAACCAATTATATGGAGATAACATTATTTTATCTATTTTGGTTTCATAATGACTTCATTATAACACCGCTTTTGGTTCTTTAATAAGGTACTTTATTCCACCCAAAATTTTGATTTTATAGGTTGGCTACTGGTAAAATACAATTTTGAATACCTATAGGTTATAATATTTTTATGATTTGTTTTCTAGTACTTACGAGACTTTTCGTGTAATAAATTTTGTTTAACACCAAAGAAAATCCTTTTTTCTTCTTTAACAGCCGCTTATTGTAAATACTTATTGTAAATTAACGACGCCATAGCGAAAGAATGTGATAATGTTTGAAAGGTTAATGACCTTTCAAACTTCAAACTTTGTTATCTATGATACCAACTATGTAAAGTAAAATTTAACCAAATTAAATATAAGGTATAAAATTAATTTGTTTTATGAAATGTTTGCAAAATAGATAAAATAGCATAAAGAACTCATGTCATAAGACCTTTTGTCGCACTTGTCCATTATAAAACTCGCTCCTTCGTCGCTCGTTTTATAAATTGTCCGCGTGCGACAAAATGACGTCTTATGACATTAGTTCTTTAATATACTAATTTCTTGAATGTCTCATTACATAGTTTCATGGCTTAATAATGTCATTTTTAGCTAAAACTTTCATTGAACAGGAATAGTTTAATAGAAATATTAATTTTGATAAAAGGCTGTCGTGATAAGGTCTTAAAATGGCCCTTTTCACATTTTAATTTAATAATTTTAAGCAAGAAAAAGTGGAAAAATAATTGTGCGAATAAATTTAAAGTTGTAACAAAGAAATTAATATTAATAGTGGTAAAGATGCTCTTTTTAAACATAGAAGATCAAAAGTACAGCAAAACAAAATAAAAATAATCATAATGAATATGCAAATAATTTTGCATGAAACTTTTTTCAGAAAAAAAATCAAACAATAAACTTACTAAGCATAGACAGATTAAATTTATACAGTTCTATGTACAGTTCATTTTTTTTATCTGGACTCCTGTTTTTTTGTTAGGTTGGTGGCTTAGGCCAGTTTGACTTAGTATTTTTAGTATTTAAGCAGAATTCTGCTAAAGAATTTAATTAAATACTTTGACACTGTCAAATTGACAATAATATTTATTATTGATAATTTACTTTTACAATTATAAATAATAGCAACGAACTCGAATGTAAAAGCCCTTTTGAGAGCAAAACTTCATTTTGATGAAATTATGCCAAATGCCACAATGAAAGAAAAAGTATATAAAAAGTAACGAATTTGGTTTTATAAATATTACACAACACATTATTTTCACATTATTCACCATTGGACAACATTTACGTTCCCAATTTTTTTTTTTATAAATTCTTTTCAAAGCGAAGATTATTATCCGCTAGGAATACTTTCTCATCTGGGCTGTAAAGCAACCTATATTTAACTACTTTTTTTTATATGATTTTACTCATCCAAGCACCACGAAAGCCAAATTAATTGCATTTTTAACTACGAATTTCGACAACTCAACTTGACAACTGCACAATGTAACCTACAATAATTTATACATAACCACAATTAGATTTATAACTAGCTTAGTTTGTTTTAATCAATGCGACCAACTTGACAACTGTATTTACCAACCAAAACCCTAAATTTGCAACGTTGCCACACTCCAGAAAAAAAATGAACTTTATGTAGTAATTAATAATAATTATTGACATTTCGGAAACTAGGAAACTTTTGATTGGTTCATTTTATAATGAGTAAATTTACCGTTTATGTATCTGCAAAAAGAAAAAATAGAGAACAGTATTAAAGAAGGTAACTTATACATGCATTGTATTTTAATCATTTTCTTTTTTATTTACAGCTGAAAATCTTTGCAAGAGTAAATGTATATTTTTAAATACTGTTTTAATTATTTTTAATAATTTTTTTTTGTTTTCTTTATTTTATTATTTATTATTACGTATATTTTTTTGTATTTATATTTATTGACAATTATTATTTCCCAAAAAACTAACAATTTCTACCGAAAAAAAATATTTGTGGGTGGCAACACCAAGTTTGATAAATAAACAAATGAAAATCGGATGGGTTAAAAAACTTATTATTGGGTGTAAGTTTATTTAAAAGTTAAAATTAAAAAACGTTCATTAGGTAAGTAAAATAAATAAGTAAAACTATCAGTAAATATACATTGGAAGCAAGACTAGTTTTTGTTTTGTTGCGGGGTATCTAGAAGCATCATGCACTGATTGTGGACTTTTCTCGACAGCGAATAAGATTTGTTACCGCCCGATTCAGTTGGGTCCGGTACACCCTTGGGAGTGCAAAGTATGGAACAGTTATTTTTATAACTGTTGTACATCTCTTCCACTTTTTGCTCTTTGCTGGACGATGTCCCCATTTGTTGTATGTTTTTCGATAGATTTCTTGTCAGCATGGATTTACGCAAGTCATTCGTTTTTGCCACAAGAAGCGGCGAAACCACAATATTTGCTTTATTGGGGGCGAGTATAGGACTTTTCATTAACAGTCTGGGACTGGATCTTTTCTGCATGTTTTCTTTGTTGTCGTTTTTTGTTTTTTTACTACTTTGCACTGTTCTACTTCCCCTGATCTCGCTTAAAATATTGTATATTTTCTGCCTGTTCTCTTCATGTAACTTTTTGTATTTGTTGAATTCTATATTGTCAATTTCCAGTATGTGTTCTATGTTTCTCAGGCTCTCTTCTAATGTGTTCTCAGTCCTAATATTTGTGGGGCTATTTAATCCTGTGCTTTTTAATAAATCGCACATTGAAGACAAGGGAGAACTGGTATTGACTATTTCTTTTTCAATATCCAAAAATTCCTTGTCCGTTGGTGTGCCTAAGCTTTTTCTGCTTGATCTAATAGGGGTCTTCTTTATTTTGGGACTTTGCATTTTAGTGAACCTTAGGTTGGTTTTGGCCACTTTTGTTCCCTTGAATTTAAATGGTTTCTCTTTAGAACCGCCCATCGAATTTTCAAGAGGTTCCATTTCATCTATGCTTTCTAAAGGTTTGGCCTGGAATTTACAATCACAAAAATATTTTTTTTGGAATTTTTAACATTACTTACCAAACTTGAGTTGCTTGTATTCAAACTGGGAATTTTGCTATTCAATTTCGATTTAAATAATTCCTTTCTTATGCTGGGCTCAAGTTTTCGCATTTTTGATGGTCTCTTGGGAGAATCTAGAAAATTATATTTTTAGAGTTTACCCGCGGCAAAACTTGACAGCTGTTGTCACCAAAAATTGCAATTTATATTTTAATTGTTAACTGTTACTCATGAAATAGTCTTGTCAAATACCATTCGGGCATCTAATTTTTCCTGTGAAAAAAATCGAAAAAACACAATGCTAAGTAATATTTTTTAACAAAATGCATTCGTGCAGGTGCAAAAATCCTCCTCTTCGACTCGGATTTTTGTTGCCACCAGCACTCATGCCTTTTGTTAAAATATTACTTAGCAACGTGTTTTTTCGATTTTTTTCGGAAAAATTAGATGCCCTTATGATATTACTTACGAAAAACCCTTAAACACGTATACTGAGATATAAGTTGGATTTTTTTACTTGTTATGCGTTAATTTTGACGCGCAGCATTTTAAGTAAAGGCGTAGAGCTTTGAATTAAATATTTTGTTAAATTAAACCTTAAAAATTTACTTTAAAGTAAAACTTTTTTTAAAGTTATGTAAAGTTTTATATATGTTATTTTTACCTATTTTAATAACCCTTAAGTTTCAACACTAAAGTATTATGAGGAACGTAATTTTTACGAAAGAAAATTACTTATAAGTGTATTTCACCTAAAGGAAAATTTAACGGTAATTTAACGTCAGAATTTTTACTTAATGATAAATGTTACTCATAAGTCATAATTTTACCATATTAAGACCACTGTATAACCATTTACTCAATGGTATAACCGTAAATATATATATATATATATATATATATATATATATATATATATATATATAGATATGCAATCCTACATTACCAAGCCCGAAACGTTACATTCTACAGTATAAACGAAGCCCACTCGGTTTTTACGAAGCCCGAAATCGGGCTTCCTAAAATTAGCGTGTATAAATTTGTTTTAGAGTTAAGTGATGCCCCCTTGTTTTAATGGCGAAAAAGTGGTGGGCTTCCTAATGCCATTCAAACCTATCAAAATATACAACCTTAGTTCCAATGCTTTAGCGGTAGGGGGCACACGAGTCAAACGAGATTATATACAGCTTTGTATAAGTATTACGCAGTATACGAAGCCCGTACATCTGGCATCAAGGGACTATACGCTCGATGACTTTTTGATAGGAAGGCGGGGAAAATAATGCGGGATTCTTAAATTTGTATCTACTGATTTTCAAAACAAATGTTATATTCCCAAAATTATGTTTTGTTCACTACATGGCGTGGATTAAAAGGCAATGTTTTGTTAAATACTTTCGTAATACACTTAATTTTAAAGAAATATTTATTTTTGAAATATTATTTGGAGTGCATTTTTCTTTGGGGCGGTTTTACAAGTTGTCCAGATATTTTACATAGTTTTAATTGGGGAAACAAGGGGATTTGTATATATTATTATTATTATTATTCAATGTTAAATTTAAATAATTTAAATAAAAATAATTTTTAATTTATTTAAAACATTTCCAATTTTAATAAAAATAATTTTTAATTTATTTAAAAAATTTCCAATAGCGGTATGAAATAAATTAAAAATTATTTTTATTAAATATCATTTTAATGTAACATTGAATTGCAAAAACTGCTTTTTAACAGATAGCTTCTCATGGCAATTTGTCAATTAATATTCACAACTGGTCAATTTATTTATACATGGCAAACAACGACCAAACGACCAAACAACAATAAGAAATTGGGTTCTTTATTTGGATAGTGCTTATCTAAAAGGAACCAAAAATTTGTTCGGAGCTTAACAAACTTATTTGTATATAGCTAACTCATTTTTAATGCTGCTCAAAAACTTAATTATAATTTGAAAGTCCTCTCAATAATTTAAAAGAAGTTCTAAATAATGAGAAACTTTTTGAGCATTATTAAAAATGAGTTATTTTACAAAAAATGTTGTTAAGTCCAAAAATAGTTTTTGGCGCTTGGTTCCTTTTAGATAAGGATTGTCCATTTATACTTACCATTACAATATTATTTTATCAACCGTTTTGGTTAAATTAATATTTTATCTACGATTTTTATTGGATAAAAGGCAGCTTTAACTTTATAATGTAGCTATAAAACAATATTTGGTTTGTAATACATTTTTCTTGTTTATAGGATGCTAAACTAAATAGCAATTTTCCCCACTTCTTTTTTTTATTTTTCAACTTTTAATTTGGTTTAGTTTTTCTAAATTTTCCCAACATTTATTAAAATGGATATAGCCAGTTTTCCACGGATGCTGCTCAACTATGATCTAGGTCTTTTAAATCAAATTTGCCTATAATTATAAATTTAGACAATATTTTTAAATAATGACTTATAATTCATTCAATAATATAATAGTTTTTATTAAAATAATTATAAATCACACTATTTTTAAATACACTGCCCTACAAAATTATTGCATAATAAATAAAAAAAATTAACTCTAAAACGCCTTTACTAATCTTTATGAAATTTTGGATAAAAATACTTCAACTTATATCTCAATTTACGTGTTCAAGGGTTTTTTGAGAAAATATGTTTAAAGCCTTTTTATTTAATAATGAAAATAAGTTCAAAAAATCACTTTAGGGAATTTTTTTAAATAAATAAAAAATCTTAAAGAGCGTATTTTTTTAGTATACCCTGAAAATTTTGTACAAATCAAGCGAACAGTAACGAAGATACAGCGCTTCAAAGTCGTGAAAAATGACCACTTTTCAGCAAAATAATCAAAAAGGCGTCATTTTTACCGACTTTGAAGCGCTGTATCTTCGTTAATATTCGTTTGATTTGTACAAAATTTTCAGGGTGTACTAAAAAAATACGCTCTTTAACAGCATATTTTTTATTTATTTAAAAAAATTCCCTAAAAGTTATATTTCGAACATTTTTTCATTATTAAATAAAAAGGCTTTAAACATATTTTCTCGAAAAACCCTCAAACACGTAAATTGAAATATAAGTTGAAGTATTTTTATCAAAAATTTTATAAAGATTGGTAAAGGCGTTTTACAGTTAATTTTTTTATATTTATTATGCGATAATTTTGTCGGGCAGTGTATTAAAGTATACGTCATTATTTAGATTTTTTAGAATTTTTGGTGTATTTAAATCTAATAATTAAAAAAAAACTAGATGTCTTTATAATTCATGAAAAAAATATTCAGTTAGTTTCACTTGTTTTGATTCCCATTTAAGTTTTACACAAAATTACCTAACCTCAACAATAATTCTTATAATAATTATAATTATTGATATATTTGTATATTTTTTATTAACATATGGAAATATATTTTTAAAGGCTTAACTTTTAAACAAAAACGAATCGCATCCATGTCATTTAAGAAAAAATGTTTATAATTAACCCAGCTATCATCTGACAAAGTTTGCCATAGAGCTTGTAGAGCACCCTGTATAAGATATTTAAACCTTTTCAAAATTATGATGTCTAAATAAAATAAATGAAATGTTTATACCTATAGGTACCTAAATTCAACAATACTTTTAAATTATTATAATATAAATAATTATAATTTAACGATAATTATTATTATAAAAATTATAATTCAACAATATTATTAAATATTTAAGTATACCTACGTCATTATTTAAGAATATTGTTAAGTTTAAGTATCGTCTAGGTATTTTAAATCAAATTTGCCTATAATTATAAATTTAGACAATATTTTTAAATAATGACTTATAATTAATTTAATAATAATTATTATTATAATAATTTTTAATATAATAATTATAATTCAACAATAGTATTAAATATTTAAGTATACCTACGTCATTATTTAAAAATATAGGTTAAGTTTAGGTATAGTCTAGGTATTTTAAATCAAATTTGCCTATAATTATAAATTTAGACATTGGCAACACCGCAGGGCTTCTGATACACAGCGAAGTGTGTCTCTTGTTGTTTATGCACCAACGAACAGTTAACCGCCCCGTCCCGCATTACCGGGCTTCGACTAGCCAGTGTAATGCACCGGGCTTCGTATTGATAGCCGTGCATGTATATATATATATATAAAAATATATATTTTTTAAATTTACTCTAGGGTGGCCTTTATTACTTTGTAAGTACCATTTTGTAAAATATAAATTAAAAGAACAAAGAAATTAAGAATGTCAATGTTTTAGAAAGAGAGAGCAAACAGTTAGAAATTATAGCGTTATTTTTAAGTAAATTTGTGGTATTTATATCGTTTTTATTACGTTATTCTCTTAGTAGATCAAAAAGGTTATTATGTAGGTAAAATATCGAAATAAACCATTCCCCAAATTAGGTAATTTTTCGTATCTATACCGTTTTTTTTTAACAGTAAAAAATACTTTAAAGTTGACTTATTAGTAAATTTGTAGTTATTTAAACTTAAAATGCTGCTTAGGGTGTAGAAGGTATCCAAAGTTAAAAACAGAGTTTGTGAATTTGAACTAAAATCCCCTAAACAATAATTTTGTAATAAGTCAAATTTTGAAAAAAAATATTTTTTTCATAAGCAGGGCCATGAAAATGACATGTGACAATCAAAATATGAAGTTTTTCAAGTACTACAAACTAAAAACAATTTTTTTTAAATAAAACTATTTTAAATTAATATTGAATTGTATATTACATTTTAGGAAAATGGTAAATTATTACTATTACCTGAGTCATGTGAAGACAAAACTGTTAAATGATTTCTCTTAGGCTTTTCAGTTGAAACATATCCATTTGTTAAATCATTATGTATGGGTTTTGGCCCAATACTTTTGGTAGCTAAAAATTTTTAGATTATGTAATGAATTAATTATTCTTTGAAAAAAACTTACATTCACTTATAAGTGATTTTCTTTTTAAACCTGAGCCTTTTTCTAAAAGAAAAATATGTTAACGTCAGGTAAATTTTTTATATAAACTTACCATTTGATCTAACATTAGCTTCAGGATTTACCAAAACACCCATTGCTAAAATTCACAAATTTAATTTAAAATTAAAAAAAAAACTGTTCTGTACCTTTTAACTTTTCAACCATCTCAGCATTCCTCTCTAAAAAATATTTTTTTGATTAATGGGAACTTTTTAATACTTTGAATGTTAAAATATAATACTTACTAAACCATGGTCTTGTTTTTTCGCTTTTTTTTTCAACTGCAAAAAATATGTTTTAGTATAGGTAATTATATATCTGTATTAATAACATACTACTATCTGGCATGTAAGATTTCCTTTTTGAACCTGACCCATTTCCCAAAATTGCTAAAATTAACTAATTAAATTAAAATATTTATGAAAAAAATCACTGCTATACCTTTCAGCTTTTCAATTTCTTCAGGATTCCTTTCTAAAAATATTTAAATAATTGTCATTTTTAATACTCAAAACATTAGGTTACTTACTCTTATACCCTGAATGTTTTTCTAAAACAAAAATATTATTGTCATTTATTTGTTAAGATTGTAGAAAGGGTGGCAATGTCAATTTTTGCAAAACACTGTTCATACATACCAATTGATCTTGTAATAGGCCTGGGATAAGCAAAATCCATACACTTTCCTAAAATTTACAAAATATATATCTTATAGGTAATAAATAATAATTCCTAATTAATTTTAATTACAATTAAAATGCATTAAAAATATGACAATAAATATATATATATATATATATATATATTAGGGTGTTTCAAAAAAATCGACTTTTTCTTTTTCTTCAAATGGTCAGCAAATTCTTTTAGAGGATGTCAAAACAAAGACCTCGTTAAAATTTGAGCTTTTAATTTAAAGATTTAGAGGTCGCGGATCGCAATTTTGTATTTCCCATTTAAATAACATAGGAAATTTTTTGTTTTAACTTTAGAATTTTATACGTCTATATCGAATCAACTTATGGCAAGGGACATCTTATATTTTTATAGTAAATTTAACGCTCTATAAAAAATGTCTCTTATAATTTTTCTATAAATTGATTTCTTCCAGAGTTATTCGAGGCCAAAGTTTGATTTCCATCGAATTTTCTCGTTTTTTCAACTTTTAGCATAATGTAGTAAAAAAATCACATATTTATATCTGAAACATAGGAAGTGTTGTAAAAAAACAAAAAAACAAAAAAACGTTACTTTTTTCCAAAGCCTACTACAAAGTTTTAATGAAAATATGAGATGTGTATAATATGCAGAGTAATTTATATATAAATGCATTTTTCTCGAAAATGGTGCATCTGAGCAATTCAAATCAAGAGTACCTATTTTTCGTAAAAACTATAAATTCTCATAATTTCATAAAAAAAATTAAATTATTAACCCAGAAAAAAGTTGGGGCTATTTTTGTAACTTTGCCCCCTCCAAATGTTACGCCTATGATTAAATTTTAACAGTTTTGATCTAGATTCAGCATGTCAAAATTCGAAATGTACCGAAAATTCATTTATTCATGTTCAACCCTCTAGGAATAGTTTTAAAAAAATTATCCTCTTAGGTTCCTATTCAGGGGGCCGTAGCTCCTTTAGGGAGCATTTTTTGATACATGTTTATTAAACAAAAAAGTGTTATTTTTATACGAATAATGCACTGTTTAAGTTTGGCCCCCCTAATTTCGGTTTGGCCCCGTATAATGATAATTGTACCATAAATGTTAAAAAAACGCGAACATTCGATGGAAATCAAACTTTGGCCTCGAATAACTCTGGAAGGAATCAATTTATAGAAAAATGATAGGAGACCTTTTTTATAGAGCGTTAAATTTACTATAAAAATATAAGATGTCCCTTGCCATAAGTTGATTCGATATAGACGTATAAAATTCTAAAGTTAAAACAAAAAATTTCCTATGTTATTTAAATGGGAAATACAAAATTGCGATCCGCGACCTCTAAATCTTTAAATTAAAAGCTCAAATTTTAACGAGGTCTTTGTTTTGACATCCTCTAAAAGAATTTGCTGACCATTTGAAGAAAAAGAAAAAGTCGATTTTTTTGAAACACCCTAATATATATATACAGGGTGTTTCTTTTAACTTGAGACAGCTCAATATCTCGAAAAATACGCATTTCACGGAAAAATGTCTTAAATAAAAGGTTAATGTGACCAAAGGGGACATTATTTGGTGCTACCGCTAGCCACCCCCTACCCCTCCTTAAGGGTGAAACGGGGGGTAACTTTGGAAAGTCAAATGGAATGACCCGATTTTTTCTACAGAGTTTGGTAGTACATAAAAAAATTAATAACTTTTATTTGAAAGTTTTTTTCAATTTATCAACAGATGGCGCTGTAATTCAAAATTTAAGAAAAAGGGGTTTCCTTGAAAAATGTATTATTTGAAACGTTTGAAAAACAAAAATTAACATTAAATCAACAATAGTCTGCTCTGAAAACAATTTATAACAAATGTTAATTTTTGTTTTTCAAACGTTTCAAATAATACATTTTACAAGGAAACTCATTTTTCTTAAATTTTGAATTACAGCGCCATCTGTTGATAAATTGAAAAAAGTTTTAAATAAAAGTTATTTATTTTTTTATGTACTACCAAACTCTGTGAAAAAAATCGGGTCATTCCATTTGACTTTCCAAAGTTACCCCCCGTTTCACCCTTAAGGAGGGGTAGGGGGTGGCTAGCGGTAGCACCAAATAATGTCCCCTTTAGTCACATTAACCTTTTATTTAAGACATTTTTCCGTGAAATGCGTATTTCTCGAGATATTGAGCTGTCTCAAGTTAAAAGAAACACCCTGTATATATATATATATATATATATATCTATACTCTTTTCTTTGCTTCTATGGCATAGAATCTATGCTAAATATATTTCACCAAAATAGGTACCAAAACAATTTAAACCATTAACAAATGTTTTAATTGTTAATTTTCAAACCGTGCCATATACACATATATATTATAACTTACCTGTGGATCTAGATGTCATATTTCACTTTTATTGTATATTAAAGTATAAAATGTAATACGGTGTAAAATTATTTTGACTGTAAATGTCACTTTTTTGAACATATAACCACAAAATCGAGAAAATACAAATCGTAACGGTTTCAAATCCAGCGCACCAACTTAAATTTGTAAACAACATGGCTGCCAACCAAAATAAATATATAGGCCACTCAGTATACGCGCCTGTAGGGATTGCCTAATCTACAGGCGTTAAGTTGTCCCTTTAAAGCCACATAAGAAATATGCTGTTTCGGTATATTTTACCATAAAAGACCCCATATGGCAATTTTCAGTATCAAGTTAATGGGACTTAAAAAACATATATTTTTTTTGTAAATTTATGAAGCACTATATAGTATTACATTTCATGATAATATATTAATTAATGTAAGTAAATGAATAAGTAAAGTATTTATTATGGTGGATTAAATGTGGTTTGTTTATATTTATTGGGTCACGATAATCGGAAATTTTTATCCCGACTGTCAGAAATTGTATTGTGACGGTAAAATTATTTAAAAAAACACTATAGAATATCAAAAAAATGAAGTGGTTTTTATGGGACATTAAATAAAAAACCTTTTATTCGTAAAAATCATTTATTTTTAACCAATTCTATATCTACTTTATCACAGGTAATAACTTTTAGAAACTTACAAACTAATATGGCATTATTCTGTGTAATAAAAGTTTCCAAAAATCTAAGGTATTTTACAATAAAATACAATTTTAGATATGTATGTATATACAATCCTCATAATTTACTTATTAGGAACAATAACAATTCTTTTACTAAAATTCTTAAACTTTTTAACAACACATTTGTATGTGAGATCTAGATTTTATATTATATACAATAAATCTTATTTACAACATATAAAGGGGAATCTTAAAAGTATTGTGAAAGGATCAATATAGCCTTTTTTATACTATATTTTGGCACCTGGAATTCAAAATATTTCAATAAATATTTCAAGATATACTAAGGGATTACAGAGGGAATCAGTGCACAATAAAAATTTCCACTGGTGAAAGTTGAATTGTGCAGTGATTATCTTAAAAGTATGGGTTAGTCGGCTATAAAATAGATATAAGTACAGAAAGACAGGGAAGCATATGGCACGCCGTTTAACATTTAATAAATAATTTTTTAATTTATAAATTTCAAATATTTTCAACTGTATGTATTGAAAGACAAAATTTACTTATGTATTAAAAAATAATATTTTCATTTTTTAATAAAAATAATTTATTTGGGCAAAATTTTGTAAATCTGTAATAATTTTTTTATAAAATTATTTAGATTAAATTTGTAGTAAATAAAAACTAATATAAATATAAATAAAATAGTTTAAAAAGTTAAAATTTGTTAATCTCAAAAAACAATTGATAATCCAAAATATTAAATACAGGGTGAGTTTTAAGTTGACGCGTTCCTTTTAACAGCGTGTAGAAATCAGATAAACCAATAAATATTTTAAGTAACTTTTTTATCAAAACTCAAAAATAAGAGAGTTATACTGCCCTGTTAAGGATAGAGGTCGTATCTACAATATTTTGTAGTAAAGGACAGAAGAAAATTTTAATTTTTAAAAACAATAAAGAATAAAGTTTTTTCTCTACTACCACAAACTGCCGTTTGAAGACAAAACTTCATATCTGCAATATTTAGTAGTTAAGCAAAAAAAGCCATTTTTTATCTTTTTTTAAAATTAAAATTTTCTTCTGTCCTTTACTACAAAATATTGTAGATACGACCTCTATCCTTAACAGGGCAGTATAGGCCTTCCAAGTTTAATTAAATTTTGAGCCGGTCCTGGCTATTGTTAACAAAGAACATAACCTTAAAAATAAAAATAACAAAATAAACAATGCAAAATGTCATCTATGACAACAAACATAACCATTTAAATCAAAATGACATTTAGCAATGAAAAATGTCAGTTTTTTTGTGCCTCAATTATTGTTAAAAATGGTTCATAATTATAGCAATAATGAATTATGGAGAGTGTCGTCAAAATGCAAATGCTGCAACTTAAGTAAATAATGACATTTTTTATTGCAAAATGTCAATTTGATTTAAATGGTTATGTTTGTTGTGAAATATGACATTTTGCATTGTTTATTTTGATATTTTTATGGTTATGTTTTTCGTTAACAATAGCCAGGACCGGCTTAAAATTTAATCAAACTTTGATGGGCTATAACTTTTTTATTTTTGAGTTTTGATAAAAAAGTTACTTAATATATTTATTTGTCTAGCTGATTTCTACACACTGTTAAAAGGAACGCGTCAACTTAAAACTCACCCTGTATAAAATGCAGTTTAAAACATTTTTATATTTGTAGTGTCATTTAAATGATTTTTAATAGTGCTTAACTTTATTTTTCAAACTATTATCTAATAAATGCTAAAACGGCTTGCCATAGAAGTACCAATATTTTGATTTGATACTCGCGAGAATATTGCAACATACAAACAGCCGTAACAAATCGTATCATCTTAATTTACACGTTTATGTACATAAATCATCACAGAGGCATTGAAAGGGCGCGCAGGCGCACCGGCGCGCTAACTTTTGAGCACGCACTGCGCAGTGCCGTCGCGCATCATCCGATTGGCCAGCGCGATCCAGTCCTCCAATCGCGGCGCGCACTGCAACGTCAGCGCGCCCAGCCTGCTGCGCGCCATGAACACGAACTCGCCAGTGCCGTGCGCGGCGCCGCAGTGGCGCGCTACGTGCAGCGTCACCCCGCGCAGCTTTTCGTTTTCGTCGTAGACCGAGTTCGATTCGAGGGAGCTCGTGTCGCCGAAATCGTCGAAGGCCGTGTGGCGTATCAGCTTGGTCACCTTGATTTGCAGCTGCGATACCTGCAAGTCGTCCCTGTTCTCCACGCCCTCTATGATCCCTCTGGTAACTGAAAAAATGAAAATGAGGTAAGAAATTTATATAGGAATTAGTTTTATATGTGTCCACCAATTGGTTTATAAGGAAAAGTATGGCACGCCGTTTTAGCATAGTTTAAAGATTTTAAACTCAAAAGAATTGATAGTCAAAACATTTTTAAATACCCCTAGTAGCAATGGAATTGGACAAGATTCTTTGTCAAGATACTTGGGTAAAGAATTGGACAATTCTTGACCAAGACTCTTGATCAAAATTCTTTATCCAGACTGGTGGCAGACTTGGACAAGTCTGTGACCAGAATTTGACCAGATTCTTGGCCAAGAATTTTTACACGATTACACGTTAAATAGGAACTTTCAATTCAAGATTTTTGGTCAATACAAAATTTTGTTGAACTTCAAAAGTTAAGAATGTTACTAAAAACATTAATTTTCCACGATTTCTTTCCAGTAAATTCGGTTTTTATCCATAAATCTGGTAAACAATAGAATTAAAAACGAAACAAATTTTGAAAGTTAAAGTTTTTAATTTTCTATGTTAAAAAAAAAACAGGTGCCCGTAAAAATAAACATGTATTTTATAATCTTTCTTGTTCATAAAGATTTTGATTTTTAGAAATATCAATTTTTATTTTTCAAAAAATCAATTTTTTTCTCAGCTAGAAGACGAATCCAATAAGCTCTTATTCGTATTTTCACATAAACAAAAAAACTATACTCATTTCCTACAGAGAACTCACTTCTCGACTAGTATACATTATTGTGAATGATACTACTGTAGAATGAGAACCTCTACTCTATAGGATAGTCCCAAAGTTTAGCAATAGATGGCCTCAGATTTCTGGTCAAATTCTTGTCAAATTCTGGCCACAGTCTGGCTCAAGTCTTGCCCAATAATCTTGGCCAAGAATCTGGAACAATTCTTGTACAAATTTTGAGCAAAAATCTGTCCAAAGTATCTTGACCCATGCTGTGCCAAGACTTTTCCGGAATTGCTACTACTGCCCGACAAAATTAACGCATAATAAGTAAAAAAAACTCTAAAACGCCTTTACCAATCTTTATGAAATTTTGTATAAAAATATTTCAACTTATATCTCAGTTTACGTGTTCAAGGGTTTTTCGAAAGAATATCCTTAAAGCACTTTTATTTAATAATAAAAAACGCTCGAAAAAAACTTTTATAGGGAATTTTTTTTAGTAAATAAAAACCATTATGCGAAAGAACGTATTTTTGTACCCTGAAATTGTTGTAAAAATCAAACGAACAGTAACGAAAATACAGCGCTTCAAAGTCGTCAAAAATTACCACTTTTCAGCAATATATTAAAAAAGGGGTAATTTTTACCTACTTTGAAGCGCTGTATCTTCGTTACTGTTCGTTTGATTTGTACAAAATTTTCAGGTTATACTAACAAAAATACGGTCCTTAACAGCAAATTTTTTATTTACTTTAAAAAAATTCCTAAAAGTTATTTTTCGAACTTTTTTTTATTATTAAATAAAAGGGCTTTAAAAATATTTTCTCGAAAAACCCTCGGACACGTAAACTGAGATATAAGTTAAAGTATTTTTATACAAAATTTCATAAAGATTGGTAAAGGTGTTTTACTTATTACGCGTTAATTTTGACGGGCAGTGTATAAGCTTAAAAATATTGATTTTTAATTTGTATTAAGAGTATTTAAATGATCGATAATTTTTAATTTACAAAGTGTAAACGTAGCTTTAGCAAATGTATAAATTTAAATTTGTTAAAAATAAAAGTGTTTGGTTTAAATTTTAAATTAAAAAATTATTTAATAAATGTTATAACGACGTGCAATAGAAAAGTAATTCTTTAAAAAAACTAATTTCGAATTCTAGTTTTGCATTTACATACAATTTCATACAGGATGTCAAAAAATTGGTGGCCTCAACTTTTAAAGCCGCTAGTTCGAAAGGAGGTAGGCAACTCAGATTATAAATTAATAATTTTTAAAGCGGAAAAAGTTAAATAACTCCTGCAATTTCGCAAATTCGAAAAATGGTAAGGAAAAATTTGTATTTTTACCCTTTACATAATTTAAATATTTTATTGTTTTAACTTATAAAATAAATATCTACAACATTCAAGACAAAATAATTTAAATTATGACCATATCCTTTTGTATTTATTAAACTTGACATTTACCAAAACCTGACATGACAGTAAAGCACGTGTTTTTGAAACTTTCACGAACCGCAAAATGCCAACAAAAAACGTATCTTAATGCAAATTTATTGCATAAGGTTTTGATAATTTGCTAATTAAGTATATTTTAATGACTATTTTAAAATAACCAAAAGAAACTAACTTACCTAATTCGCTACTACAAAAGGCATGGGCCAACTCTGAAGACGTACAAGGTCTGCATTCTGAAAAAATAAAAATAAAGTTTAGAAAAATATTAAATTTAAATGACCTACAAAAATGACAGATCCGAATTCGATTTGTAAAATTTTAAAAACATTATTTTATAGTATGTTAGTTTGATAAACGTCATTTTAGTCGCGAATTGGAATTAAATTAAAAGCGAATTAAGAGCGAGTGTTTAATTAAATTAGTGCCTTGAAAAGTTTATAAACGAGTTTTTTTCTGCGAAAAATGATTTAAATTAAGTATTTGTATAGAGCGACATCTATAAAACAATAAACAACTTGGGAATCGGTATTGCCGGCGAAAAAGTCAAATTTTGTAAATCGAAATTTATCCCTTGAAAATGGGCTAACAACAGTTTTTCAGTCAAATTGAAGAACATTTTTATGGGCCCTTTACGGTGGAGTCTCCACCCTAAATTAAGTCTATCTACACCTTTTCCAGTTGATATTCAGAAAGTAGCAATTGATATTCAGAAAGCAGCAATTGATTTTCAGATATTGCAAATGAAATTCAGAAAATAGCAAATGTTATTCAGATATTTCAAATGATATTCAGAAAGTAGCTGATGTAATTCAGATATTGCAAATGATATTCAGACAGTAGCAATTGATATTCAGAAATTACAAATAGTATTCAGACAGTAACAATTGTAATTCAGAATATGTCAATTGAAATTCAGAAATTAACAAATGATAACATTTTCATACTTCATTTTACTTATTTTCTAAAATCTCAATTTAATGTATTTCTTTGTATACATATATGTATATTGCTTTGTTTCCGTGGAATTGACAATAGTAAACAAATTTATCACCATTTAAGTAGGTATATTTTTCATAATTGTCAACTTATTGCAAGTAAGGACCGAATTTTCTTCTTTTTTACTTTATATAAATTTCATTTATTTAGTTAATAAAGATAACGTGTACTTTCATTCATCATCGATTTACTGTATGCAACCCACTGTTCCTGAAACAATTGCTGCGGCTGAATTACATTTGATTTAATCTGAAAAACATTTGCTACTTTCTGAATTACAATTGCAAGTTTCTGAAAATCAATTGAATTATCTGAATTACAATTGCTATTTTCTTAAAATCAATTGTGTTATCTGAATTACATATGCTACTCTCTTAAAATCAATTGGAATAGCTGAATTACAATTCTTACTATCTGAATATCAACTGGAATAACTGAATTACAATTCCTACTTTCTGAATATCAACTGGAAAAGGTGTAGTTTACTGCCGACGAAATTAAAAGGTCAGTACAATGTTCACATAAACTTTTTAAATATTGGCGTTGAGAAACTATTTAACGCTTTTGTATTTTTGTATTGAGATAATAAAATAATGTTCACATTTAGTATTTTTTTACAAGATATAAAATTATATTAACGCTTGTATGACATTTGACTTCAGCCCGTGACTAAAACGCCCTAAAGCCACAACTTGTCAATGTGTATTTAAGAGGTTTCTTAGTGTCATGAAAGCATGTACGATAATGGGTGGGAGTAGAAAAAATAAATTGTATAGACTGGAAATTAATGAATGCAAAAGTAACAGCATACGGTCCTACAAAACCACTTGTTGCATCTGACCACATGCGAGTCGTTTATGTGGGAGTGTCAAATTATTTGAAATAAAAATTCTAATAAATAATAGGATTAAAAAAACTAGTGGATATTGGCAAAATATATATATAATATAAAAATTGTTATAAGCTTGAAAAAAAAATGTAAACCATTCAAAATAAAAAAATTGTTCTACTGGGATAAGATCTTACCTTCGGTCGGGTCGTATCCCTTGGAGCCCTCGGGCAAAGGTTGCAGATCGTAGTCCATTTCAGAAACTCGCTTCAGGATGCTTTGTTCCTGCGTAGCCTCCACGTAAATAGCGGCCTGTCCTTTTTTACTATTGAAACACCTGCAAAATAAAATACGTTTAACGACGCACCAAAATGAGCATCGGTGATGCATTATTAGAAATAACTATGCCGATAAAAAAGGCGCAAGTCCAAAACTGGCGAATGCAAGAAATTTAAATTACGCAGATCATATACGATTCTATATAAATACCTTACGACCGGCTTTGTAATATTTCTGCTGGATTAAGAAATACATTGAAAAAAAAATAAAATCCAGTCGACTCGTTCGATTGCCTTCGACGATTTAAAAAGTTGCTTAGAGCCAATTAGGTCAGTAATAGTTTCTTTGTAAGTCATATTAAAAGTAATGCAAGTAATGAAATGCTTTTATTTTTGTAGCTGCTATAAAATAACACCTTGAATAGAAAACCTTGCTTGCCTTTTTCGTTTAAGCATTCGTTTTTACCAATTTGGAGGCGATGAATACCAATATGACAATAACAAATGTTGTGGAATGTCTATATTTTAATGATGCCAAAAAATATTTTGTTGTTATTTTTTAAAACCAATAAAACAAACTGAACTAAATTGAAACTGCTTCCAATAAAAAATAATAATATTAATAAATCAGCTGAAGGCATTTTACATTTTTACAGTTTTGAACACCTATAATTTGTTAATTACTCTAGATTTTTATCTTTAATTATAAGTGGTGAAGCAGCAACAAATTGGACCGTTTAACATTATTTATTTAATCAATTATTGGCCAATTAATAAGCAACAAATTATATAAAGAAACGAGCATGTTTAATGGGAACCAAAGATATTATCTTTGATGGGAACCTATACGCTTACACCATCTGGTGGTGTTTGATAGCATTGTGAAAATTCAATAAATGTCAACAGTGCATTTAAGCATTCAAACTGCACATTTTTAAATAAATAAGTAGTTTTTTCACAAAAGAGAAAAAGGCAGAAGTCTAACTCAACAAATTTTGTTCAATTGCACAGCTAAAGTATATATACTTGAGGAATGGTGATATTTGAGATGATTAATGTTTAATATAGAATAGCTTTTTTTCCGTGTGCCATGCAAATTTTAAGAAATTTTCGGATCAAATATCGATGGTTATTTTACAAAACATCGTAAGCGACAATTTTGTTAAATTACTTTTTATTTTATCAAAGTGTCAGTTACGATAAGCTGCACATGTTAACATAAAAGTTATCCCAATTTTGGTCAGTTTGAATATTTTTATTATTGTAAGCGCCTCTTCTTTTTAATTTGTTACCAATTTATAACGTAAGCGCCTATATGTTCCCGACAAATAATTGTAAGCAACTCCGAGACATGACGTTTGCGATTTAACATTGTGTCGCTTACGATAATATTGTGCTCCCGCCTTGATCTATCAAGGCGTTATTCCCGCTCTAAACAGTTTATTCGTGAGTATACCTGCATCGTGGTGATTGCTACCAAGTTTTAAAACAATATTTTATTTGATCAAAAGCTTATAATTCCTTTTTTTCATTGCATTATTAATAGTTCTACTAATTATAATTGTTTGTACGCAGTGTGGTTCGTTAAAAGTGTTTTTTGTAGTAATTGTATGTTGTTCTAGCGTCAAATAATTTGGGCTAGATCATGGAGCCTACACAAGGAGTCCGAACATCTTCCTACGATAAGAGGGCGCTGGTGTTCCGTTTACTCTGAAACAATTGTTTAATTTGTGCCGAAACGATAGCATCGACAATCAGCGCCGCTGGTGGTGAAAAAAAGAAACTTAATTTGTACAATTTAGAGGGTAGGTTTTGTCAATTTCCCCTATTAAGTTCGGGCTCCTTGTGTAGGCTCCATGGGTTAGATACTTGTTTGTGAATAAAAATCGTTCGGTTTTTTTTCCAAGACAAAATATCGTTGTTGAAATTTTATAAATTAATTTTTTTGTAATTTTTTTTATTTAATAATAAAATTAAAAAATAAATGTCGCTGACGATGTTTTGACAAAAGTAATCATCAAATCTATATCCCACAAAGTAACGTGAATGTAACTTAAGCGACAAGACTAATTTTACATTTTGATGTTCTTATAAAATATCGTATGCCACAAAACTTAATGAAAATTTTAGATTACATTCGATCTTACTTAAATATTTGAATTCTACAAAAATAAAGCTCCCACTCAAAAAAAATCTCTCCTGTAAAATTTAGGTTTTGTCGCTTACGATGTTTAGTCAAATAACCATCGATATTTACCTTATTCCTTTGTGTCCTCCATCGTTATAAGCGAACAAGGGCAACAGTGATCTGGGTCCTTCCAAAAACATTCGAGCAGCGGGCTCCTTTACGTCCATCTCGTCCTGTCTGACTTTAATGCAGGCCCTGAAATCTTTTCCTCCGGGGAATCTCAACAGGACCCTGAGGGCGCCCGCAGGGTACAACCACGTCACCCTACCGGTGGCACAGCGAAGGTATACGGGTGTTACCCCTCGACTCAGGGAACTTGATGTTAGACCACTGGAAAGAAAGAAAAATGTTGGTGTTAATTGCAATGTAATGTAATAATAATAATAATGCAAGGACAATGGTTACTTTACATGAACTATCCACTAAGACCTTATCGGTGAAGTACCACTAAAAGCCCATAAAACGTGAATAAGAAATTGTCGAATGCATTAAGTTGGTATCGTCGAAAAGGCTTTTAAAGTCATCCTTCAAAAACAATAAAACGAGCGATGGTATCTCCTCATATTTGATGCTTTCCCATTGTCATCTCGCAAGGTATATCGAAGTAGATACGCCTCCAATGACAAATGGAAATACGGCTCGACCAAATTTTTTGTTGTGAACCCAACGAACATAAATTGGTCTAATTTCAATGCACTCTCTTAAAATGAATTAGTTAAAAATAACTAATTATAAGTCATATTTGACTAATTGTCACAGCGAAAAAGCAGTCACTAATAATTAGTCAAATTCTACTGAATGAAGTCAAATTAGTAAATTTAAATTTAAAAAAAGTTTTGACCCAGTCGGGGATTGAACTCAGGGGTGCCACTTGTCAAGCTTGTCAAGCTGTTGTCATAACCCATTCGGCTATCAGCCGCTCTTATAAAAAACAATTTTATTTGTCAATAATAACTTTTTGCATCTTTATTTGTTTGTATGGGTTATTTAACCATGGAGCGTAGGAATGTATATGCATTTAATTCAAATAATACTTTGTTGTTGGCCGCAAACAATTAAAGAAATTAGTTACTTTTAACTCTCAGAAATAGTCAAAGATCTTAAAAAAGTCAAACCTTAACTATTTACCTAGTAAAAATTAACTATTTAAAAGTGAAAACAACTATTTTATTAGTAATTCAAATAGTAGAATTTTGACTATTTCGTTTTTAGAGAGCATAATTCGTGGAAATCAAAACCGCCATCGTAGCAATATGTTTCAATTTGTCACCAAATTTGAGATGACGCAATATTTAAGCTTGAATAAGCAGATATTCTCAATTAAAGTTCAAATTACTTAGATTGCTTAATTGACCACATAAAGAGCTCGTTGTACCATAATGCGCCAAGTATTTGTTTTGCTACATTAATGTTCTCAGAAACGACGCTCACTTGATTTAATTTATGTCGAGATTATCAAGCAAGCTTTTTTTTGGCTGAGCAAGCGAGTTTTTCGAAATGGAGAGTAAATGTTTAGTTTAAGCGATATCCCAAGTATCACAGCTAGCATTCCAAGTAAGTTAACCAAAATCTAATTAAATTAACGTTTTTTAAACTTATTTTATCTATTTTGCGTTCATAATGACTTCATTATAACACCGCTTTCGATGCTGTAATGAGATACTTTATCCCACCCAAAATTTTAATTTTATAGGTGGCTATACTTTAAATATTAATTTTGCATATTGGTTAGAATATTTTTAAGATATAAAGTAAATTATGGACGGCATGGCGAATCGATTTTGACATTAACCAATGTCTGTGATACCAACTATCTAAAGTAAAATTCGACCAAATTAAATTTAAGGTATAAAATAGATACAATAGCATAAAGACCTTTTGTCTCACTCGTCCATTATAAAAACTCGCTCGTTTTATAAATTGTCCGCGTGCGACAAAATGACGTCTTATGATATTAGTTCTTTAATATACTATTCAACCAATTAGTTTAACAAATTCTAAAACTGCATTTTTGTGTAATTTGGTGGCTACCCAAGATACTTTTTTCATCTAAATAAATACCTCTGTTATAGGCATCCATATAATTAATTTGGTGTCAGCCGAATAATTTCTCTGCTTTCCTTATTCGGCGTCGATTTACGAGAACGAAAAAAGTAGTACGGAATTACTTAATTTTCGTATCGCGGACAACAACACTATGTTTGGGCCTCCAAAACGATTCATGTCAACTGCATTTTTTTAATCGAATTAATCTTACCTAATTGATTGGCTTAATGTCGGTCGTTTACCTGCCAAATATGGCCGGTTTACCGAATGAGTCAAATTGCCCAAATAGACCACCAGCAAATACCTAAAAGCATGTAGTCATTCAAATAGTACTAACAAAGAAAATATCAAAAGCAATCTTAATCGAACAAAGAAATTACGAATCTCAGAGAAAACAGTTAGTAATTATAGCGTTATTTTTACGTAAATTTGTGGTATTTATATTGTTTTTATTACGTTATTCTCTTAGTAGATCAAAGAGGTTATTATGTAGGTAAAATAACGAAATAAACCATTCCCCAAATTTGGTAATTTTTCGTATCTATACCGTTATAAAACCGATTTGATTAACCGTAAAAAATACTTTAAAGATGACTTATTAGTAAATTTGTAGTTATTTAAACTTAAAATGCTGCTTGGGTATAGTATGATTGATTGATTTTTTACTTTTTATTGTGTAGAACTAGAACTCAAAACTGGCATTTCTAGGCTTTCTAAAGGACGCAAAAAGATTACGGTTATTATTCTTATAAGGCTTTTTCAAATCTTTCTCGGTTTTTGCTCATTACCGTACTTACACAATAATTGAATAGACTGTCGCGACAAATCAGGAACTGTTTTTTTCTCCTGCAATAAGGTAAATCCACGCATTATCCTGCTGCCAAATAAATAAACGCCATATCGGGCGACTGCAAGTAATTTACTTGCCTATAAGTACGTTCAGCTTAGAGTCGATTATGGTCGATTTATTTATTTTCTTAAAAGTGATCGAGTAAAAGTAGTCCAGTTTCTCTGCTTATAAAATGAACACACCCACATATTAAACTTACATTCTATCCGGTTACAGTTAATAATTAATTAAAAATCCTTTTTAACGTAGGTATATGCTCGAATGTTTGTTAATTTATTTAAATGTTGTTGCAATTTTTTTTCAGCTTAAGCATTGTAGGTTTTTTTGCTGAATTTAATTAGTTAACTGGTTTCAATATGTCTTATTTGAGTTTAAAAAGCATCAATATCAAGTGGTCCTACAGTGCAAAATGAATCAAAGACTGCAAACCTTTTTTTATGTTTAATTAGAATTTCTTAGCTAAATATACGGATGTGGAGGTATTTAATCAAAATGAAATCCGTGATATCCGAAGAGGATGCAAAAGAAAATTAATTGATAATTCATTTCTCATTAATATTTTATATATACATTATCGAAGTTTTTATCGAGAAGGAGAATAATTAAGGTACCTACACTGATTTCGTATTCATCAATCATTGCTAGAGATATTACTTTACACCTGTCTGTGATGGATTATAAATGCGCCGTGCTACCGACTTTTGATTTCCTGCCCATCATCGAAAACAATAAAAATAACTATGGTAATTCCTTTCTTCAAAAGCCACAAGCAAACAATATAGCAACAACACAATGAGTAATTTATATTAAAATTTAATCAAAATAAACACACAAAATTTTGTCTTAAACCATCAATATTTTAAATTTAAAAAATAACGTGGTGGCAACGGCCATACCACGTTGAATACCCCAGTTATTACCCTATTGATACAAAAGTTTGTCATTATGTGTTCAGGACACCCTATATTAATGGGGACGAGAACTGGCGTATTCAACGTGGTATGGCCGTTGCCATTTTATTTTTTAACATGTAAAAAACTAAAATTGATATTTAAAAACCTAAACCAAACAATGTATAGTAACTAATAATGTTTGAAAGGAAACAGGCAGTTTGTTACATGCGCTGTTAACATTTACTTGCACACATACACATAAGGAAGATATGAATAGAATAACTAATTAGTTAAATGGTGAAATTAACACCTACTTCAATAACTCCGCTGATGATGGATTATCTTCAACGCTTGAAATATATCTATGCTGCTTAATACAAAACGTATTTTAACATACCAAGTGAATAATGAAAAGGTGTTACTTTAAAAAATCTGAAAAATAAGGGTTCAACGCTTTACTTGTTACTTGGTTTTGTGGCAAGTTTAGTTGAACTTAAGGGTTTTATGAGGTATAATGTATGAAGGATGAAAAAGTGTGATGATCTCTGTGAAGGTTCATATAGACGGCATACATCACTATGTACATAAAGCTTATTCCAGATGTAGGATACTAAAATTCTCTTTATTTTTTCGATCGTAATCGGTCACCCAAGAAAGTGTACTGCCCCGAGTAGGTTTAGTTTGGAATATCTAAAGCGAGCAGTGCTCAATAAAAGCGAAAATGCATGGTTTTCTAGGCGTGCGTGGGTTGTGGTAGCGAGCGCAACCTACGAGTGTTCACGTGCCGAGGCGATACCACGACCGAGCTCAATAAATATTAAACCGTTACCGCAAGCTCGATTATTGTGCTTCGATCGGGAAAAAAATATGTTTTCTGCGACGTTCCGGCAAACCTAAACGATCATTGCTTATTTAATACGCCGTTTCTTTTAATAAAAACATTGAAAACATCCTGTACACATCTTGATCTTGGTTTTTATTGAATATAACATTTTATCTTAAAAAACTAGATGGCAAAGGAGTGCCGCTAAATGCCTTTGATTTCAGTGGTGATTGATATTTTTTCAAGGCCCTACTTGATCCACGATCAAAGGGCTAAATTCAGGATTCCATATCCAATCAATACTTTCATGAGATTTTAAATATATTATATATATACATGGTCAGACATAGCATTAAGTGGCATCCGTTCTTTCTGCGGGAGTCTATACAGATTAATTGAACTTTTCAAAACGTTCGGTAAATAATGTTGTTTAAATGTAAGAATAAATCTTTTACGCAATGGCTGAGATGATGATTCCCATTAAAGTATTCTTAAAAGTCAAAGATCAAAGTTTACGGGTTTCCCAAACTTCGTGCGCAGGTCATAATTAAATATATAATGACCGATTGCTGGTACGGTACCATAGTTCGTTTGTACATCAAATCGTACAAAAAATTTTATTAGGCAAATCATATCTCAACCAAACCGTATAATTAGCGGGACATGAAGATGGACCATTAGTAGAATTAATCGGTCGAAATGATGGTATCGTGTGTTA